GCCATTTATATGCCTTATTGCATTTTTTCTTTTTCTTTTTCTTTGTTTGGCCCATTGAATAATTGTTTTTCTGCCATTCACTCTTCCAAGTTTCAACCAGCCGATATTTTTTATATCCAAATGACTTTTCTATGCTTTATTGCATTTTTTTCTACTTCTTTCTCATTGTTTTGGCCCGTTGAGTATTTGTTATTCTGTCACTCGTTCTCCGAGTTTCAACCGACTGATACTTTTTATATCCAAATGAATCCCTCATGCTGCCATTTATATGTCTCGTGCATACTTTTGTTTTTCTTTCCCTTTGTTTTGACCAGGTGAATGTTTGTTATTCTGCCACTCACTCTTCCAAGTTTCAGTCGGCCGATTTTTTTCATATCCAAATGAAGCCCTCATGCTGCCATTTCTATGCCTTATTGTATATTTTTCTACTTCTTTCCCTTTGTTTTGACATGTTAAATAATTTTTATTCTGCCGCTCACTCTTGGAAGTTTCGACCGGCCGATAGTTTTCATAATCAAATGAAGCCCTCATGCTGCCATTTATATGCCTCTTGCATACTTTTGTACTTCTTTCCTTTGTTTTGGCCCGTCGAATATTTGTTATTCTGCCACTGATTCTCCAAGTTTCAACTGGCCGATACTTTTCTTATCCAAATGAAGCACTCATACTGCAATTACTATGCCCCATTGCTTTCTTTTGTGTTTCTTTCCCTGTTTTGATCCGTTGAATGTTTGTTGTTCTGCAACTCACTCTTCCAAGTTTCAACCGGCCGACGCTTTCAACGGAACTTTGAGAACTATTGTTCCGACCATTGAAAATGGGGAGGAACTTTGTATTCGGTTGTGTTTTAGTTTTTTTTCTTTCTGTTTTCCACGCAAAATCAGGTACCACAAATAATCATCGGACTAGGTTGAGTGATATATCATATTAAAGCGCTTTCATGATTCGAGCTACATTAAAAAAACTTCAAAAAGTTTTCCCAGTTTCTCGAAAAACCAGTTTGAATTTTTTGATTTTCTGTCTTTTTTCGAGCGAATAAAGCGAGCGACAAGTCTTATTTTAATTGCCTAAAAGCTTACAATGGCTTAATTTGAAACTTAAAACTTAATTTTACCTGGCTAAAGTTGGTTTACTTTGTGTATTTTAGCCCCTTTTTGGAATCAAAATCTTCAAAACTGCAAAAAACTGCAAAAAACATGAAACATTTTTTCGTATTTCTAATAACTTTTATCAAAATTTTTTTTTCCAATTTGCTTTTTTTAGGATGGCTGTTGAATATACCTAATCCACAGTTTTTTTGCTTAGCTCCTTTTATCATACCACGCTGAAATTTTTTTTCGTTATATTGTTGTATTTTTTTGTTGTAAAATTGTATTTAGTTGACCGGCTATCCTTGTTAAATTAGGTAATGAATGAAACTTGAGAACTATCATTTATTTTATTTTCATTTCTTTTTCAGTCAATTGTACTTGCTACTGAGATAGTTTTTATGTACAAAAATCTGTCAGATGAAATGTTATTAAAAAATCAAATTTGACGCTTTTTTGCCAAACGATTTGGCTTAGAAAGAAATTATAAATTTTGTTCGAAGTATTAAAAAAGTGGTTTAACTATTTAGCTTGAGTCTGCCACGTACTATATTATATCACCCCTAAATAGTTAATTTAGTTAAAAAGTTCAAAAAGAAAGGTTAGAAAGTTCAAAAAGGTCAAAAGGGTAGAAAGGGTCAAAATATTTCAACGAGAAAAACCTAAACCCTCGACTGGTTAATCTGTTGAAGCCTCTAAAAAAACGTGATTAATACCAACACTCTGTAGGTTTCCACACCCCATAATTTCGAGACTATCACGGAAATGTTTTTCAATTTCAGCTGAAAGTATAGTTTTTCAGATGGTATAGCAAAAAACGTCAAATTGTTGTTTAGAGGGACAAATTTTGCATGCGAAGAACTACGCTGAGTGGTGCTAGAATTCTATCGAAATTCGGATACAATTGGCTCTAGATATAAGTGCAGCTGAAAATTGTTAATCAATTGATGAAAATAACGTGCAAGTTCTGATTTTTTTGGGTACTTCGTTAGATATTATCTGTATTCGTTTGTTTTTGTAATTTGTTTTTCATTTAGACCATTCTTTGGTGTTTATTTTTGAGTTAGCTCGTGTTAAAAAAAGATTTCGAGCTTCCACATATGGTGTGTTACTGGCGCATATCAGTTCATTGACTTACTTCATACCGGTTTTATATTAATGCTTTTGAGTCTTTCGACTGATCTCCAATACCGCCATTACCACTTAGTGCCTACTTCAAACTAACCTACTTGAATTGAAAAAATTTATGCTCGAAAGCGTGAACTAACCGAGAATTTGCAATGGGAGACATCTTGACTGTTAGACACGAGATACAAATGCGTGAACATAAAAAGTTATCTCGTTGAACTGCTAGACAATTATAAAGCCTAAAATGGTCATTGCTTTCCGTAAATATACACTTGAGAACCAATAGAAAACACAAAAAAAACGTCAATGTTTTCTCTATATCTTCAATAATGTATCTTTTCAGGCGATTTGGCAAGAGAGCATATTAGGCTTGTTCATGTTTGTTCAAAAGTGTTCATGTTTCTTTTGTTACGGCTGTCCAAAAAAGTAACAAAATATTGTGAGGTTTTTCCTTCGACCAATTCCGACTTTTCGGGCTCGCCAATTTTAGACAGAATTTCATTTTTTTATCATTTTTTTATATAAGAAAAATTTTTCAAAACTAAAGAAGTTTTTCTCAAAGCTGAAAAATGAAATCCCAAATAATTTTTCTTAGAAAAAAAAACTGCATATAAAATCCGTGGAAAGTTTTGTTCATTTATCTTGTTTTTTTGTCGGCGCGCGCTCCACCTCAAAATGAATATATATACATATCGACCATATTGATTTTCCAAGCTCTCCCAAAGCAGTCATGAACAGTATATGCAAGTTTTTTGTGATGTGAAAAAATTGATAATTTACTCATTTTAAATTCCTTCTACATTGTTGACCATTCTGTGAACAAAAGTATTTAATGAAAAATTACAAATAACCTGGATGCAGCTTATTATATTAAGCAAGGAAGTTGCATCCGGGTAATTTGTAATTTTTTATTTAATACTTTTGTTCACAGAATGGTCAACAATGTAGAAGGAATTTAAAATGGGTAAATTATCAATTTTTTCACACCACATAAAACTTGCACATACTGTTCATGATTGCTTTGTTTTGTGTACAAGCAAATTCAAGTAATGTGATTGTACCGTTAATGATTGCTTTGTTTCGGGTAGAATTGAATTCAAGAAAGGTGATTGTAGTGTTCATTATTTCTTTGTTTCGTGTACAAGCACATTCATGTAATATGATGTTTTTCACCGAAAAAGTTTGGGAAGTTTTCAGCTTATTGAATGTCGTCCGTAATTTTGTTGGCTTAATGATTTTTTTTATTAGCTGTTAATCAATTTTGTGAATTTGTTTTGATTCAAACTTGACAATATGTTTGCCATAGCTTAAAATGAATTTCTCTGACACGCTTTTGAAACACAAAATTTAAAAAAAGTAACCTTTTACTTTTTTCTTTCATTTTTTTCCTTCGAAAAATAGGTTTGTTCAACATTTTATTCGCTACATTTTAAGCAACATGCTGTGTTAGTCATATCGGTTTTGATGAAAATAACTGATATCATGATTATATACACCGTATTTTGGATTACTTTTTTTTACCAATATGTTTTTATATTAGTTCAATTGCTTTGTATTATGTCTTTCTTGCATTAATAACAGATTTAATGGAAAGACTAGGGTTTATAAATCCTAAATTGCTATCAGACTAGAATAAAATGTTTGAAGAAACATCGATAAGTGTATTTTATCAATTGAAAACGACAAAATAAGTTGTTTTTCGCTATTTTTTTACTGATATTTTTTTTCGTTTTGTTTATAGCTCTTCTTGGTGATATGTTAAATAGGTGGTAATTTTGAGCATAGCAAATGTTTCAAAATTGAGAACTATGATGCATAATACAGTAATTTCATTTTCAATCAATTGTACTGCATCCAAGATAGTTTTTGAAAATACATTACTATGCCAGATAAAAAGCTATTCAAAAAATCAAATTTCACACTTTTTTGCTAGAAAGCCTACTTTTGAATTATACCAAAAAATCTATTTCGAGACTGTCGTGTATCGGCTTTTTTGCCGGCTTACTTTTTTTACTTGTTTTTCTTGAAATTTCAGCTACTTTAATCACTAAAGATTGTGATATTCAAAATTTCATTGTAACAGGTTACTGTGTTCCTATATTTTGTATAATTTATGCTTTTTCCTGGCCGAAATAGTTTCGGTTTGGTATATCGATCTAGATGCCTCAAAATACGCCGTAATTCAACTAATACGAGTAAAATCTACATGGTGTACTGCGTGAAAGATCGAAATGCCCAGAAAACTGGACCTTACTTACTAATGCCCCCTCAATTGCAAAGGGAAGTGAGCTCGTAACAAAGGTTCAATGTTCGGATAAGATCCCAAAAATTGAACAAAATTGAAACTGCTGCTCAGGCAGGGATGGGGTGATATCTGATATTTTTAAAAATATCATATCAATCCGATATTTTTGATATATATCACGATATTTTTGATATTTTTGATATTCTCGGGGAACAGTTGGGGAACAAATACTCAGCCTATAGGAACACTTGAAAACTATTTAAAAACTGTAGTTTGCAAATGAACTTGAATTGGACGTTCTGTTGTTCAAGCATTATTCAAAACTTTAATCACTGAACAAATTTGGCGGTAAACGAGAACAAAGAAAATCCGCGGTTCTTTTGATGATGGGAATATTAGGCAAGAGGCATGTCAAATTTACCTGATTTCATGATACAGCTGATATTTATGGATTTTTTTGTCAAAAATATCATGATATATATCATGATATTTATCATGATATTTATCACTTGATATATATCACCCATCCCTGTGCTCAGGATTCGGCGGATAGTAAGACGTGGAGGAACCCCAATGCTAAGAGCATCATTTGCCCAGAAGTGTGTGCAATGACAAGTGCGCATAGATGCACCCAGACACTTGAGGAGTACTCGCTAAACCAGGCGAGAAGGTGAGTTACTTTTCCCTTTTCACTATCCTTTCTTTCTAGTTCAATTCAAGAAACTCAACGTCATTCTTTTATGTCATCGCCAACAATTAGATTCATTCATCATCGGTAGCAGATCTAAACATTCTCACGAGGAGGGGGGGGGGTTGGTTTGCTTCAGGCAGACGAAAATGATTTCGCACGTTTTTGAGTCTCTTGATAATTCAGAGTTTGAGTGCTCTGAGACTATTTGTACTTCATATGGAGACGCTTGATTTTCAAATGAAGAGGACGCTTTCGGTGTTTCGGTTAGGCAATAAAGTGCGAGTGTGTGTGTGTGTGTGAGGAGGGGGGAGGGGGTCAGAAAAGCTAAACTTGACTTATTTTCTGGGAAACAGAATCATTATCATCATCATGATCACCCCATTTCCTATTTAGCACAATGAAGCGAGGTACTCTTCAAATCAGACAAGTGAATGACAAGATTGAGAAGCAAAGGTGAGTTATTCCTGCTGTTGTTTCCCTCAATACTTTTGATTTTCCCCTTCCACCTTCGATAATAAACACCAAATATATGAGGTAAACGAAAAAAATCCTATTTTGTTTTTGCACCAGATGCCAATTGAGGATTTTCACACAGGTAATTTTGCATAGGCACCCAGTGAACACTTTTAAGGTAGTCGATTGAAACGGATGCCATAAAATAGAACCATTTCTACCTAGCTTTGGTTCTGAGGCAGATCGGTTTCGTGCAGCTGGCTGATTGGCAATCATGCATTTCATACGTAAATTAACCGTAAATATGGGAAATTACAAATCAACAAAGAATTACGAATTGCCATAAGTTTGGGTATTTGACAGCGGAATTCAATGTCATAAAATACGCAAAATGAAAATATTAATAAATCAACTTGAAAACAGCACCTAAACAAAAGAAAACAAAATTTTTTGAGGGTTTCGGACCAGATTACGGAGCGTATGTTTTATGTTCTTATTAATTGAACCCACGCCGAACTACCCAACGAAGAGAGAATTGGAACACGTTTTACTGAAGGGCCTTACTAATTGACCTGCTGGGGTCTTAACGGATGCGAAGTTGGCGACGTTAACTTTACCGCAGTTATCTTCGCCCAGGGGGAAATGGTTAGGCCTTGACGCTTCCAATTCAGTTGAATCGGCATCAACAAGAGTTTTTGGACGGGCAGTTAATGAGTGGTACGCTAGGCAAATTGGAGGACTGTATTTCTATTGAATCCTCTAATGCACTTACAGCGAGGAAACCTATCTGTTCCAAATTTTCTACTCATGGCAGAAGTTCTTTCTCCGCTCCAACAAAATTGATACCGTTGTCTGACCACACAAAACTTGGTTTACTACGAAGAGTCATAAATGTTTCAATCCTCATGGCACAAGAGCCGGTGTCAATGGAAGGAGCAATTTCGATGTCTACAGCACAGTTAGTTATACAGGTGAACAGAAAAGCCCATCTTTTCTCACTACTGCAACAAACAGTCATTTGAAATGGACCAAAATAATCCATCCACAATTACTGATTGCCCGTTGTTGGTAACCAAGCCGTTCTACGAGGATGGGACGTCATCTTTAGGTCCCTGGTTCGAGCCCAAGTCGGCGGACTATATTTCTGCTTCGTTTTCGTTCTGAGGTAGATCAGTTTCGAATAGCTGGCTGAGTGACAACATTCATTTCATTTTTAAATTATTTGAAATTACAAGTTAAGAAAAACAAAACTGCCATAAATTTCGGTATTTAACAGCAGAACACAATGTCATAAAATAAGCAAACTAAAAACATTAATAAATCAAATTGAAAACACCGTCTGAAAAACTTGTGACTTTTGTTTCGATCTTTCAATTTTTGATTTTTTTCAAACAATTCTTCCTTGACCAGAAAATTCTAAGTTACGACCTTGATTTTTGTCGCTATGAGTTCTATCGAGAACAGTCTCTAAAAACTTACATAGGTAACTTTGCAAAGCCACCCATAGAAACACTTTTGAGACTGTCGGTTAAATAGGATGTCATAAAATAGTACTGCTATAAGTGGAGAATTTGGGTAACGAGGGGCTTAAAATCCAGACGCGGGCCAGTGCATGACTTTGCCTGCACAAATGTCTGTTTGCCTGCAACATTTTCCAACTTACTTGTTCAGTGATTTAATCTGAACATGTTGGGACTGCGCTGGTATCTACTTGGCGAGTTTTATCCCTTTTGTCAAATTCTCAGTGAAAAACGGGGTGAACCTAGTTCTGGATTGTACGAATGGCAAAAAAAAGATTTGCACTCTCGTTAAATACAACTAGCAAAATTTTCTGGTCGGCACGCTACTGGTCTTATTAGTTTTTACGAAGAGCAAATTGTTGTTCTGACCATTGAAAATTGGAGGAATTTTGTTTTCGGGTGTGTTTTAGTTTTTTTGTCACGCACATTGAGTGATATACCATTTTAAAGCCTTTTCAGTCGTGATACGAACGAATTTTGACGGCTCTGAATTTTGACGGCTTGCAATAATAACCAATTAAATGAAAAGACTCGGGTTCGTCAAACCTAAATTGCTATCAGACTAGAAGAAAAAGTTTTAAGAAACATCAATAAGTGTAATTTATTGTTTGAAAACGACAAAATTTGAGCATAGCGAATCTTTCAAAATTGAGAATTAGAATGCATAAAACAGACATTTCATTTTCAATCAATTGAACTACATCCAAGATAGTTTTTGAAAATACATTACTATGCCAGATAAAAGCTAGTCAAAAATTCAAATGTCACTTTTTTGCCAAAAAGGCTTGTTTCAATCCCCATGTTTCAATCCCCATGACACAAGAGCCGGTGTCAACGGAAGGAGCAATTCCGATGTCTACAGCACAGTTAGTCATACAGGTGAACAGAAAAGCCCATCTTTTCTCACTACTGCAACAAACAGTCATTTGAAATGGACCAAAATAATCCATCCACAATTACTGATTGCCCGTTGTTGGTAACCAAGCCGTTCTACAAGGATGGGACGTCATCTTTAGGTCCCTGGTTCGAACCCAAGTCGGCGGACTACATTTCTGCTTCGTTTTCGTTCTGAGGTAGATCGGTTTCGAATAGCTGGCTGAGTGACAACATTCAATTCATTTTTAAATTATTTGAAATTACAAGTTAACAAAAACAAAACTGCCATAAATTTCGGTATTTAACAGCAGAACACAATGTCATAAAATAAGCAAATTAAAAACATTAATAAATTAAATTGAAAACACCGTCTGAAAAACTTGTGACTTTTGTTTCGATCTTTCAATTTTTGATTTTTTTCAAACAATTCTTCCTTGACCAGAAAATTCTAAGTTACGACCTTGATTTTTGTCGCTATGAGTTCTATCGAGAACAGTCTCTAAAAACTTACATAGGTAACTTTGCAAAGCCACCCATAGAAACACTTTTGAGACTGTCGGTTAAATAGGATGTCATAAAATAGTACTGCTATAAGTGGAGAATTTGGGTAACGAGGGGCTTAAAATCCAGACGCGGGCCAGTGCATGACTTTGCCTACACAAATGTCTGTTTGCCTGCAATATTTTCCAACTTACTTGGTCAGTGATTTAATCTGAACATGTTGGGACTGCGCTGGTATCTACTTGGCGAGTTTTATCCCTTTTGTCAAATTCTCAGTGAAAGACGGGGTGAACCTAGTTCTGGATTGTACGAATGGCAAAAAAAAGATTTGCACTCTCGTTAAATACAACTAGCAAAATTTGCTGGTCGGCACGCTACTGGTCTTATTAGTTTTTACGAAGAGCAAATTGTTGTTCTGACCATTGAAAATTGGAGGAATTTTGTTTTCGGGTGTGTTGTAGTTTTTTTGTCACGCACATTGAGTGATATACCATTTTAAAGCCTTTTCAGTCGTGATACGAACGAATTTTCACGGCTCTGAATTTTGACGGCTTGCAATAATAACCAATTAAATGAAAAGACTCGGGTTTGTCAAACCTAAATTGCTATCAGACTAGAAGAAAATGTTTTAAGAAACATCGATAAGTGTAATTTATTGTTTGAAAACGACAAAATTTGAGCATAGCGAATCTTTCAAAATTGAGAATTAGAATGCATAGAACACATTTCATTTTCAATCAATTGTACTACATCCAAGATAGTTTTTGAAAATACATTACTATGCCAGATAAAAGCTAGTCAAAAATTCAAATGTCACTTTTTTGCCAAAAAGGCTTGTTTCAATCCCCATGTTTCAAACCCCATGACACAAGAGCCGGTGTCAACGGAAGGAGCAATTCCGATGTCTACAGCACAGTTAGTCATACAGGTGAACAGAAAAGCCCATCTTTTCTCACTACTGCAACAAACAGTCATTTGAAATGGACCAAAATAATCCATCCACAATTACTGATTGCCCGTTGTTGGTAACCAAGCCGTTCTACAAGGATGGGACGTCATCTTTAGGTCCTTGGTTCGAGCCCAAGTCGGCGGACTATATTTCTGCTTCGTTTTCGTTCTGAGGTAGATCGGTTTCGGATAGCTGGCTGAGTGACAACATTCATTTCATTTTTAAATTATTTGAAATTACAAGTTAACAAAAACAAAACTGCCTTAAATTTCGGTATTTAACAGCAGAACACAATGTCATAAAATAAGCAAACTAAAAACATTAATAAATCAAATTGAAAACACCGTCTGAAAAACTTGTGACTTTTGTTTCGATCTTTCAATTTTTGATTTTTTTCAAACAATTCTTCCTTGACCAGAAAATTCTAATTTACGACCTTGATTTTTGTCGCTATGAGTTCTATCGACAACAGTCTCTAAAAACTCACATAGGTAACTTTGCAAAGCCACCCATAGAAACACTTTTGGGACAGTCAGTTAAATAGGATGTCATAAAATAGTACTGCTATAAGTGGAGAGTTTGGGTAACGAGGGGCTTAAAATCCAGACGCGGGCCAGTGCATGACTTTACCTACACAAGTGTCTGTTTGCCTGCAATATTTTCCAATTAACTTGGTCAGTGATTTAATCTGAACATGCTGGGACTGCGCTGGTATCTACTTGGCAATTTTTATCCCTTTTGTCAAATTCTCAGTGAAAAATGGGGTGAACCTAGTTCTGGATTGTACGAATGGCAAAAAAAAGATTTGCACTCTTGTTAAATACAACTAGCAAAATTTGCTGGTCGGCACGCTACTGGTCTTATTAGTTTTTACGAAGAGCAAATTGTTGTTCCGACCATTGAAAATTGGAGGAATTTTGTTTTCGTGTGTGTTTTAGTTTTTTTGTCACGCACATTGAGTGATATACCATTTCAAAGCCTTTTCAGTCGTGATACGAACGAACTTTGACGGCTCTGAAAAAAAAATCCGGTGCTGAGAGAAATCTGTTTGAAATTTTTAATTTTTGGTTTAATTTCGAGCAATTAGGGTGGGCGAGCAGGTTCCAAATAGCTGATTTATGCTTAATCTAAGCCATGAAAACTTAGTTTTACTCAAGTTAAAAGATTTTTTTTTGGAGTGATTTAACCGTTTTTTTTTGGAATCAGAAGTTTCGAGACTTTCTCAAATTTCTGCAGTAAAGTTTGAAAGTTTTTCAACTTTTCCTTCAGATTAATTTATCACTTCATCCAGAAAAAAAAACACTATTTTGGAAAAAAAACTTTTTGCTTCGTATTTTTCAAGATTATGATCAGAAAATTCTGTGCGGTTACCAGAGGAACCAGCTATCATTGTTTCATATTTGATAATGCTTCAGAGGCAGAAAAATTGAACCATTAAAATCCCAGATTTGGCAGGATAGTTTTCGAGATGGTTGCAAATTTTCAGAAAAATGTTCAAAAAATCAAGAATTTGATTTTTTGAAGGCCATATTTTTTTCTTAAAAAATTGGGGCTAGTCATAAATAAACGTAGGCTTTGAACATTTGTCGTTTTGATCAAACTTATCATTTTTGCAGGATTGTTGTTGAGAAAATCTAAAAAACGGTCAATAAATCCAAATTTTGACATTTCTGAAAATTATAGCTTTTTGTGTAAAAATTTTGACGTAGCCGTTAATGCAAAAAAGATTCACGCAACTTTAAACCTAGATTTAGCTATTAAAAAAATTTGCTTAGTGATGGTAGTTCTCTAAAAACAAAAATCAAAAAACGGTTAAAAAAAATCAAAATTTTGTGTAAATAAATGGCAATAACCGCGTATGTTAAAGACTTCCCATAATCCATTCTTTCGATTGAATCTAAAATCTTAAATATGTGAGGATCGTTTTCGACGAAATTCAAAATAAAAAAATAGCTTCACTTTTGCGAGGGCTATAACTTTGGGTGATTTTTTTTGGAGTAGCTGCTTATGCAGGAGAGATTTCCAACACCCGTTCAATTCACTGAGACCAAAATATTAGATTTGGGAGAGTAGTTTTTGAGAAAAAAAAGAAATTCAAAAACTATAGTTCAAATACCCCACGCTCCAGACTCTTTGAAGGCTGTAGACAGAGGGGTAGAATAAACAGAGACATTTCCATTAAGACCCTTTTTAGACACAAAGGCGAAGGTGCGCCTCGCAATCACTAGCGAGAACACGGCAAAAAAGCATTTCTAAGCTCGCTAGTGTGAAAATCAAGAAAGAGGCGAAAAGACATGAGGCTCAAAAGAAGAAAAAACGACTTGAAAAACCAAAGGTTATGGAAGCAACTCTATTCGAGAACTCCTAGATCTGAAATTCCACACTCTTAAGGGATGCATAGCAGACAGCAATGGCTGCGCTCTATATAAACTGACAGAACTTCAACTATTAGGGAGGGCAAAATATAGACTTAACGTTCAACTTGAATTGGAGAAAAAAATTGAAAAATAACACAAATTCTGATAGTGCAAAGAATGGTTAAACGATATCTTTTGCAATCATCCTTAAATCTGTGTTTCCAGTATTTCGATTTTAAAAAGTTGTTCTGCTTGGATAAAAGTGGTAGCGACACTCTAGACTAATTTTCTTGTGAACAACTACTCTTGTTTCAAATTCAAACATAGCCAACAGAGTTGAAAAAGAGTCAATGAACGCATGGAAACAACAAAAATACACTCTTTATTTGAATTTCTAATTTTAGAAAACTAATTGAATGACTTTAAAGCTCTTTGAATTTGAAACACCGTTTACGATTCTCACCTTTTTGATACAATTAACCCAATTTGAGAAAACTTGATTAAAAGGTTAACTTTTATTTCGCTGGGAAGTCGGAAAATATAAATCCATTTCCGAAACTAACGAGATTTCGATGATCGTTTAGCGTGACCTTCACACTTTTTCTGTTCGAAAGTTGAATTTGACTTCATTTTAACGAAAGAAATGAACTGAATAAAAAAACCATAAGTAATACACCTGAACTACGTTTATCGACCCCTAAAAGCGCTCGTTTTGCTTATTTCGAGGCATGGGTCTCTGTGTGCGTGTACTAAAGTGACATCAAGCGATGTGACAGAATATATTATTCAATCGGAAAATGAGCTTAATTTTGTTTCAGAAGGAGAAACATTTACTTTCTAGACCCGCGTCATTTCGGAGTTCACCACTACCGCCAAGTAGACGGAGTAAGAGACAAAGGAATACCCCCCAAGGAGATGATCGCCCAGTACTGCGAAAAAGTAAGACACAAGTCGGCCAACTGGGAATTAGGCCGGGCCAACATGCGCGGTGTAGTCGAAATAGGACACAATATACAGTACATGGAACATGTTTTGGGCGTTTCGCAAATACGAACTTAGCCGCAGACCTTCGTAGAATTGTCATCAAATTACTTGCCAAAAAGCTATTATTAATATTAATTGATATTCGCAATTGATATGTACAACTATTTATAGAAACTACTTACAATGTCATCTGTACAACCAATGAGCATCCTGTAAAGCAGGAGAACTTCAATTATTAATTTACATAGGCTAAATTATGAAGTCAGTATGTCATGTATGTTCATTTTAGTTCTCATTTAATTCAATTGATTTATAGATAGACATATTATACCCAAAACATGATTTTCAAATAGAAAAATTATTGATTAGACAAAAAGATCACTCAATGACATTTAACCGATTTTGTTTAACAAAATATCTGGTTTAATCTAGTTTATGACATTTAGTTATCTTCAGAACTGCATGTCCCGCTAATGTCAACTTGAACTAGTTTTCAGTTAGATTAATTTTCAGTTGAAGTTTCTTGCGAAGGTGACACGTGGGACAGAGTTTGCTCTCGTAGTTTCTCCAGAGCTTCCAGTTTACTTCTCAGATGTTCCATATCTCTGTCTAACTCGTACAACCTCTCGTTTTGTTCAATCTCTTCGAAAGTCACACTCCTCCCTACCAAGTCACTCCCAGGACCAGCAGTTACCGACCATTGGGTATCCGGCGGCTCCTTCAATTCTGGAAGATTTGCCAGACGTCGCATTAGCATGTCTGTCCTCAGATCCAACATTTGCAGATCTTGAGACAATTTTTCTGCAGAACGACTACCACTTTTATCTCTTCCGGCTAATTGCACTGAAATTGATTCATCATCTCTATGGTACCTAGTAGCTTCAGTAGCATTAGAGCCCTCAATAGACTCAATATTAAGACCAGAGAGCGGATCGTCTTCTGGGCTGTACTCAATAGCTTCAACAAAAGCGTCAATTTTGTCCAAATATTTTGTGATTTCTTCAACCTCTACTGCGAGTGTTCTGCTTGTACTGCATCCTATGTAAGTCCACTCCTCCAAAGCCGTGGATGGTCGAGAGACGCTCAACAAAGACTTGATTTGATCTTCGTTTGGCTTCGGATAAATTAAGCCTTGCTCCAACTCGCTCGAGTGCTGCTGAGTCAGTTCATTCAACAGTCTTCTCAACTGGCTTTGCGAAACAACACTTTGTGAGTTTTCGCTGTGGTAATCTATAGCGTCGGGGCCTTGTAATTTCTCCAGCTGCATTCGTCTCAACTTTTCGTCAATATGAGCCACTCGTATTTGCGCTATTCGATCTTCTCTCGTTTCTCGTATTTTTTCATCACCTGTGGTCAAATTGGACCCCTCATTTGTCTCGCTGGCGTCGTCGATAGCCGAGCCAGTTATGGATGCAGAGTGGGCTGTCCCACTCACTCCCGAGTTCCAACATATCTCTTTGAACTGTTCGAATGTCAAGTATCCACTCAGCTTATCGTCAATTTCGTTCAACAGTTTCGAATCAGTTTCGCTCATTGCGGAATACCGACGCACACTCCCACGCGGAGCTAATTGGCCTACACTTCCCGGAATCGGAGACAGGGGACTCATTTCATCCAAATCATGCAGCTCCTCATCAATAGTATCTATATCTTTCAGCAATCCGTCTAACCGACTACGTTCTTCGTTCGTCATTGGTATAACATTCGCAGCATCACTAGCTAGCTCTTTATTGCGCTCAATGAATTTCTTGTTATGCTTGCTGTTTTTCGAGGACCCTTTCGAAGTGGCCGAGTTTTTAGTAGAAGCTGTACTTGACGCTTCTCCAATTGAAGATCCAGATCTCTGTGAATCAGATCGCATGCTTGGAGACTGTGCGCCTTTAGGAGATTTAGTGGATTTTGACGACGCTTGACTTTTCTTTCCTCTTTTGTTTTCTGACCTAAAACCAAAACAATCCGAATCATCATAACGTCTATCAAAAATTACATTATAAGCAGAGCACGCACACTGTTTTCTTGTAGTTTTTTTAACAGAGACGGTTTGGTATTTTGATTGAAAAGCCGAAACTGCTTTTCTTTCATTTTTTCACTCATATCATACCCTGAAAATCCTGGCACTTTGTCGTCGTCCAAATCAGGCTGAGTAGCAAACACCGGTTCGAACCCCTCAGCCTCCGATCCATCTTGTTTTAACATTTTGAATCGCGTAGGCTTCAACTGAATGTCGTTTTTAACAAGTGCCATATACTTGCTCGTATTCACTGTTTCTTCCCTCGAGGGCGTTCGGTCCGACGACAGCACATTTCCCGATTCGATTAGTTCGACCTCCGAAACTACGTGACGCTGAAACGAGATTCGATCACGCTTCACACGATCTGCGAGTCGTTGCTTCTTTCGAAGGATCTTGTCGAGTCGTCTCATTTTTTCGAACTCGCGTCTGAGTCGGATCTGATCTTCGGTTAGTTCATCATCGGCCACTACTTCTGTTCCAGAGGGCTGATTTGGGTCTTGCGATGAGACTGAATTGCGAGGTGATGCAGTATGTTCTTCTTCAGTATTCCCTCCTCTTTCCTCTTAAACCACTCAACTTTTTCCCCATTTATAGTACAATTTGGGTGCATTTGACAACTCAAGGGTATATTTAAGTAAAGTGAACCTCAATAATTGCAAGGGTCAAAAACTTACAGAAAACTCACATCTCCTGAATACTCTTTCTTTAATTGCTCATGGTGTCAATTTCACACTTTTTCTCAGAGTATTTTGGATTGATTTGCTGGAAACATGATTAGTTACCTGCTGTTGCAGTCCCATTTCCTAGAATGGCCTGTCTGATCTGAGCATGTGTCATGATTGGAACCAACTGCTGTCGGTGTGTGTCGTGGCTGTTACTCCTCCTCGAGCCACTCATGCCAGAGCGGAATGTGGACTGGAACTCCATGTCGGACAGCCTCGTTTCCAGGTACCTCTCGTCCCCCGAAGAGACCTAGATAACAGTATTCAATCCACAAGATCCTAACATAGCCCGTGTTGATTCTTAGAACCTACTGTTTACGATAGAAGCAGTGTAAAACCGATTGAATACATTAGTAGTTATGCCAAATGGTAGCAGCATCCTTTTCAGTCAACTACTCCGAACGAACTTAATTCAACTAACGCTACTCATTTTGACCATTCAAATCATTTCTCTTTCATTTCAGTTCGTGGAAACTGTCAGAAAATCAGTTAACCTAACAACTGCATTTTTGAACGATTGGGTTGATCGCCCATATAGCCGACAATTTGCAATGTATCATATTAATTTTTTTTCACGATAAACTGAAAACGTAGTCGAAATTAATTTCTTCTCATCTGAAGAAAAAAGGGCGTTATGAGGTTTTCGATCACAAACATTTCAAGACCTTTCAAGTATTCAAATTTAAAAAGTACACTTTTGCATCGAAGAAACTTCTAAGCGTGCAAAAATGGTTTCGTAGAAAACACTTACTTCCAAAGACAAGATAGTGTTCAATTACTTCAAAACATTACAGCTGTCTTTCATTATGAGCTGAAAAATAAAACAACTCTGTGAAACCTGAGTGTTATCTTCGCTACTTGAGCTGTCATCTCCGTCGCGTTCTGTGTCCTCATCAGTGCCCCCGAGTGAGTAGGTGGATGCTGATGCTTGGGGGTGATCTGCCTCGAAGCTCAGCCGGTTGGGGGATTGAGAGCCCGAGTTGACATTGGGGTAGATGAAACTGGACCTGCTGCTACAATTGGAACGACTAGAGGACAGACCAGCCATGCTTCACTCTGAAACTAATCGTCACTATTTCTATTGAATATTCAGTAGTCTATATTTCTAGATATGCTGCTTCTTCCTCTTAGTAAAAAAAAAATAAACTCAATATTTCTGTATCGGGCTACTCCATCTGTCATTCTGTTCATACCCTCTCTTTTACCTTCATTGCAACCCCAGCTTTGAAAAATGAAATAAATTTTTATCAACGCATTCGCGAGTTTTACTCCATAATTTCGTTGCCAAAAATATAACAGCTCCTGTCTTGACTTTTCACGGTTCATGTCGCTACATTACTGACCAAAATGTTTACTCGGTTCTTCAAGTGCTCTTCAATTTTCAACGTCGGAGCTGCAAACGCTCTGGTAAACCGAGCTTCTGTTATATTTGGCGTCTGCTATTGTAAAATTTGGCAACTTCGCAAAAATCATTTTGGGTAGAACCAAACGTTCGGGTAGAGACACCAGTTGGACCATACAAAAATGTAAAATTATTGTCATATAAAAACGTAAAGATGTCTATCAAACATAGGATACTTATAACTCCAAGTTCACAGAAACACAACATGGGCATAGAATACTTTTTTCGCCATGAAACAACGCAAAATGGATCTAAAGGCCGATAAAAAAATATTCGAAAATTTTATAACGAAAAGGTCAGACAGTTGAAAAAGTAAACAAAGATAGCCGGTTGCTGTGCAATTAGCACATAGTAGCAACCATAAAAATAAAAAATATATATATTTGCGCAAAACTGTGATGTTTTTTGTTCGTCTAGCTGAGCGGTTCTGAACGAAAACTTAACAATTAGGTATAATCGATAGCACCAAAAAATACGCATATTTGACAGCAATTTTTTATCAAAAATTTTATCGGAAAACAAAAAAATCATTCAATCCCTTATTTATTGGACTCGATTTTAATTGGGAAAAAAAAAGAAAACACCCGAAAATTCGGAACAAAAAAACGTTACTTTTTCCAATTTATGTAGTTTATTATTCGTGATGCGATGACAGGATCTGAACAAAAGCCTTAGATAAACTCGATGGTAACAAGGATAGCCGGTTACTGGGCAAGCAGAACAGATTATTCTGACCATAGTCATAAAAAAAAAGTTTTTTAAATTAGTGTAGTTTTTTTCTAGAGCTTAAAAGTTTGAATTTTTAAAAATGATTCCCAAAACGATCTCCGAAACAAATTCCGAAAAACAAACTTCACAAGAGTAAAACTGAGTTTTCAAATTAAGCATGAATAAGCTATTTTAAGCCTGCTCGCTCACCTTATTCGCTCGAAATAACACGAAACAAAAAAATTCAAAATTATTTTTTTGAAACTGAATTAAATTCAATTTTTTAAAATGTCGTTCGAACCACGACTGAAAGGGCTTTAAAATGTGATATATTACTCAACCCATTTCAGTAGTACTTGATTGTGCGTGGAAAAAAAACTAAGACACCCGAATACAAAAATCCTCCCCTTTTTCAATGGTCAGAACAATAAAGTAGGCTGAAGAACTTAGGCATGATCGATAGTAATACTAATTTAAGTATTATCGACATTAGTTTCCTCGAAAAATGAAAAGACATAAGAAATCTATTTTTTAATCTCATTTAATCTTGAAGAAGCTGGAAGTAACACTTCGAAATTTAATTTTACTAGGAACAAACCAAAAACTCTTGAATTATGAAAATAAGACTATTGTAAACTTATTTGAAGACCTCGAAACTGAGTAAACTACTTGAAATTTTTCAATTCACTTTGATTTACGCCTGGAAATGCTTTAAAAATATATATCAATCGAACCTTTCCGATGATTGTGACGACTGACTTTGCGGGGAAAAACAACCCGAAGAAAAATTATTTTTGTTATGCACAATCTGAAAGATCAATTGGGAGCAGATAAAATCACAACTAACATAAACATTAGCTATCGAGAAAACTGTATTAAAAATGTAGATATGCTCAAATTATGACCGTTGTTAATAAAATCACACGGTTAATCAAATAATTCAAGATGTAGTAAATTTACTAGTTAATTTGTCCCAGTTTGTCCCGAGTTTATTTGTCCCAGAGTCATCTGGCTGGAATCTCTTCTGTGTGTTTTTGTATTGTGTTTCTATGTGTTTGGTTTTTGTGGTTTGCTTTATGTCAAACTTCATGTTTTTCAGTGCTGATGATAGCTGTATAGCCGAAAGTACTCCGAAAAAAAAACAAGTTTCATTATCTTGTTTTTCACAGCGATAAGAAAAAGTTTTTCACAGCGATAAAAAAGAAAGTAGTTGCTCTTTATCAATGTTGTTACCATGGGAACTTTTCAAGAAGTTATTAACTGGGTACGGACACTGGATTTTTTGACTGAAGTATCAAAAGTCACTGCGCAAAGTCAGAGCTGCTGTCTCGCCAGCGGTTTCTTGAGAATTGCCTGAAGAACGACGTGATACCGAGCTTTCTTAAATTGAGAGTACCGGAGAATGGATGCTTTGAACGCACATTGGTACACAATTTCTAGCGGAGGCTTCTGAGAAGAGAACTGACCGAGACCATCAAGCAACTGTCTCCGAAAGAAGACAACCTGAAAGTCATGCACGCTGCTTTTTCGTCACGATTGATTGAGACCCTCAGAGAGTCCGCGTGTTTTTGCACCAGACAGTTATTGTGGAAAATCAATACCAAAATCAGAGGCAGACATTCGAATAAAATCGAAATGCTATCGGAAAAACAGGGAAAACCGCTCCATGCGGCTGGGTAACTGTCAAAGTGGTTGGAACGTTGGACTCACCGAGTTATGTTGTAGACATCTTGTCACTGGGAATGAAGCATGCGATCAACGACAAGTTCAACGAAACCCATTTTCTGGCCGACTTCGATACTTTCCTGAGAAAAGCGAAATCATCAGGTGCTACTCCTGAAGAATTAACGACCTAAACAGTAAAGTAGTGGGATATGAGAACAGCGCCAAGAAGTAACGTCCTGATCGGCTTATCTCGAAGGTCAATCAATTTCTCAAGTCGAAAGAAGTGAAAGCAGTTCCTTTTATTAAAGGTTCGGGATATTGCCTCATGAGTGAATTTGATTACAACAAACGACTCTTGGATATCCTCAATGGACGGCAATTTGAGATGAAAGTGCCAGTGAGAGGGAAGCCCTTCGCCGTGAAGATAGAAGATCAGTTCAACAAAGAGCTATTGTCGTTGCTGAAGGCGAACCGTGTGTCGCAAGCCTTCTATGACGACGTACACTCCACAGGAGGTACTCCGCCTCGTCTGTACGGTTTAGCCAAGGTTCATAAGCCAGAGACGCCACTGAGACCAGTGCTGTCTCTGCCGGGCAGCTGTTACGCCACTTTGAAACATTACGCCAATATTGAAACATCGATCGCGGAGATGAAGAAGATCCTGTGCGAAGACCAAATTGAAGAAGATAATGTGGTTTTTTCTATGGATGTAAAAAGTCTGTACACGAACGTACCCGTCTTGGAAGCAATTAACATTGCTGCTGGCAAAGCGTACAATCTAGAAGAAAAACCACCTATGGACAAGTCCACTTTCATGCAGCTAATGAGACTAGCGGTCACTGACATCGAATTTTTAGCTTGCGGATAGTGGTATGTCCAGAAAGACGGAGTGGCGATGGGTTCCCGCCTTGCGGTAATTTTAGCTAACCCGTGGTTAAAGGAGTACGAACCACAGCTGGCAGGAAAACCCAACGAAGTCACGCACACTAGCCGCTCCACCAAGACATAATGATTGTGGCAAATGCAAGCTGAAGGTCAATGGCGGGGCTCCTCAGTTCGCTGTGCATCCTGTTCGGCTTGGTTTCACAGGAAGTGCACTCCTCTCTCGGTCAAAGAAGTCAACGAGATAGCCGAGTCCAAGCGCCCATGGTTCTGTGGATGTATATCGTCGGTTAGCACCCCCTCTTTCTTGCATACCAGAGGCTAAAGTGTTCCGGAGATATGTAGATAATACCATCCGTACAGCTCGCGCTCAGGCAGTGGAGGATATTCTGAAGCAAGCTAACACTCTTCACCCAGCTCTGGAGTTTACGGTCGAGTTGGAGAAAAATGACTCTATTCCTTTTCTGGATATTTTGATGACAAGAACCTCAGCAGGCATCGTTGAGACGACCTGGTATCAGAAACCAACGGATACAAGTTTGCTGATGTCCTTTCATGCCTGTGCATCTACGCACTACAAAACTAACATCATACAGGTACTGTCCACAGACTGAACAACACCACCTCTCAGTGGAGCAGTTTTCATGATGCATTGGAGAAGACGAAACTGGCGTGGGAGAACAACCAGTATCCGCCTAGTTTCTACAATCCAGTCGTCTATGATACCCTTACCAAACTATGTGCAAGTGCTCCTGAGGAAATGGTTGCGCCCAAGGAACGGAACGAAAAACGCGAGCGAGCAACAATTATCATGCAGTACAGAGGATCTATTTCTGACAGGTTTGCACGCAGCGTTCGTGGCGTGGTTCCCTCTAACATCGTGTTTACCACCAGAAAGCTGAAAACAGCGCTTCCTTCGCTCAAGACGCCTATTCCGAATGAAATTTGCAGTCGTGTCGTTTACGAAATCCGTTGTCCTGGATGTCAATCGAGCTATGTGGGCCAAACAAGCCGGCATTTGACGACTTGACAAGAAGAACATTCGAAACCAGACAGTCCAGTTGGAAAGCATTTTCGAGATTGCCTGGGAAACACAGAAGATTTACGTGCTGAAGTTCTAGACTCTGCTCATGACACTGGTAAACAACTTAATTTGGAGGCTTTGTACATTGCCAAGCGGAAGCCGCAGCTGAACACGCGCGAAGAACACAGAAGCAGGCAGCTGACGCTGAAGCTGTGAGCAACTGGAGATTTTTTTTGTCCCAGAGTCATTTGGCTGGAATCTCTTCTGTGTTTTTGTATTTTGTTTCTGTGTTTGGTTTTTGTGGTTTGCTTTATGTCAAACTTTGTTTTTCAGTGCTGATGATGGCTGTATAGCCGAAAGTACTCCGAAATAAACAAGTTTCATTATCTTGTTTTTCACATTGATGAGAAAGAAAGTATTAAGTAGTTAACCTATAAAGAGTACGTTCTTAATTGATAGTGCTTGCTGATGGAAAGCGTAGACTTTATACTGAAATATAAACAAAAACTTGGTGAATCAATTTTTAATAAGTACTAAGACAGGAACCATATCAAATATATCCGAATTTTACGTTCTCTTCTTTCCCAACTTGCCAAATGACTCTCAAGTCCGCAGCTGTGATTTGTGGCATGTTAGCTACTATCAGGTGCTCAGGATTCCCACCTTCCATTCGATCATTGGTGGGGTCACAAATTATTAGCGGGTGTATTCAAAGAGCTTGTTTTTTTTTAAAACTATCCACAAAAAAATAAACCTAGCCAAATAAATTTAATAATGATTTAGTATTTTCTTGGCAGTGAAGTAAATCCACCATGTGGACGTTTGGCATTAAAAATATTTTTGAAATGTTCAATTGAATGGATCCTTCAGCGTCTGGGGACCCTCATTTTGTAGCGAGCCAGCTGAGGTATAATTTATAATTTACACTGTTTTAGAGACCCCGCTCATTGTACCTTAATTTGAGAATCAGAAAGTTCGGTTCATATCTGCAGCACCATCTGAAAAAGAAGGACTGCAATTGACTATTTGCGACTGAAGACCTGAAAACAAGGCAAAATATTGATACAGTTTCTGTATCCGAGCTGTTCTGCCTGTCCTTACGCGCTCTCATGTGCCTTCATTTTTTATTTAAAGACGAGGAGTTCTAAAAATGCGCTTCAAATTTACTCCATAATTTCATCTCCATATTTATTGTACCGCTTTGGTTTAGTCTTTTCAGGGTTTATGACAACTTCTTTGCCCATAACAGTAATTGGTTTTCTAAAGGCTTCTTCTTTGGGAGCTAAGGGTGTGGGGGTATCCCATGTTTCTTGTATGACTGGCTTTTGCATTTGCAATTCACTTTGGAGAGTGTCAGACTTCAGTGAAAAATCGTGAGATGGCTTCACATTCAAGTTATCCTTGATATATCTCCCCAAAGGGGTGTCCAGTCTACTCAATTCCAGAGCCATTCTGTCCCTGGCCAAGAACTTCCCTGTCATCGACGACATAAAAACAGTCCCAATATAATAAGGCAAAAGTTTCCAGCCAGAGCTTTTGATTATTTTAAATCGCCCGAGAGAATATATCCCCGCGCAGGATCCAATACAAATAGGAACTCCGTATTTCTGGTTTGCTTCTTTCCAAACTTGATTCATGACTTGTCTGTCAGCAGCTGTGACATTGGGGATGTCCGCTCCTCGAGGTCGATTGGTCGCGCCACCCGATGCTGAATTTACAGGACGATTGGCCATTCCTGTTGCTTCTTGCGAAGATACTGTAATGGGTTCTTGGTTTGCCATTATTCTAATACGCCAATGAAAAACAGGCAGAGAGCGAGTATTATTTACATGGTTACCTAAAAACGACATTGTGATCATTAGACTCTTTGTGATTAAATAAATGAAGGTTATTTTTTCATAAGGGTGAGTCCAAATATTTCTACACAGAGACGAAGATGAGCTTCGCACCACTTCCGATACGAAAGCCATCGAACCAAAAAAAAATGCAAAAAGAAGCCAAAATAGGAGACCCGAAATTTCCAAGAGTTTGTCTCAAAATCAAATTCATTTTGATGAAACCTGTGGCGGAACACAACAGCTAGCATTGAAAAGGCTGAAAAATTATCAAGAGGTAACTAAGCAGATGAAACCAGGATAAATGGTCCAAACAAAGAATCTAAATGTGGTATTTTTACACAGAGGCAAAGCTTGGGTAATTGTTATATCGGTGGCTTCTGTATTTTTATACACAAATCCACCAAATAGAATAAATAATTGACAAAACGCCAGAAAACACCCAAAATTTTCAAATGTTTCTTTTAAATTGAAAGTCAATTTGATAAAAACTTGTGGCAGAACACAACAGCCAGGTATTGAACTAGCTTGAAAAACTTCGAATCGCTCTACAATACAGTCAGTGGAAAAAAATAGAGAAGTCAAAAAAAATCTGAAAAATTAAGTTGAAAAAATAGCTTGAAAATATAACTCGAAAAAACTGCACCTCCAAAACTTTATGGTGGTATCGGATGACGTTCATAAACAACCTTAAAAACAATAAGAACTCATTCACCGAGCAGCAACAAATTTTGGATTGTCATAAAAAATTACATGATGTTTTACAAGTTTTTTTAACCTATCCATACTGAAGCACATAATCCTATACGAATACTTTTGCCCTCGAAATTACGCAATATGAGTTGAATAAGCCAAAATAACAAACTGTTTATATATTTCAAAAAAATACGCAAAATCAGCTTGATAAATTTACAAAATACTAAACTCACAGTTTTAATAAAAAAATCTGTTTAAAATGGAACAAAACCAATGCCCTGAAAACTAATCCATTTAAAACCCTACCAGATACAATAATATGCGTTTTAAAAAACGGAAAATGAGCCAACCGAAACTAGGACAAAAACACGAACCCTAAAAAAAATTGGAGAAATATTTTTTGAAAAATTAAATACAACCTGAAACAGTTTTAAGCTAATTACTAGTTAAATGATTGTAGTTTTATTTGAATTTCCAGAACTTCAGCAGTTGAATTTACCACTCCTTCTAAAATTACTATTTTGCGTACAAGTTTTTACGGGAAAAAAAATCTATAGTAACCGATTGCAATACCCTTGCTTATCGCAAGGGTAAAAAGCAGACATACCATTTCTGCTTTTAAAAAATCCCACATTGTGTAAAAAAATCAGTGTGCTATTAATTTGAATCGATTAGCAATTCAAATTCTCAGACATCACGGAAAATTAAGGCGAAGAGTTGCTCTGAACTAGATAAAAAAAAAGAGAAAAACTCCAGCAAAAGAACTGTCACCTATTTCATTTTTTTTTGCTATCAGAAAGTTTTGGTAGGTATTAAAACGAGACACCTTAAATACATTTAACTGCGTACATTTGAATATAAAAAAGAAAAAACACCATACAAAACGAGAGGAAAATATTAAATGTACTAGAAACAATAAGCGAACATGAACTAAATAGTTAATTTGATATAAAAAGAAATTAAGAAAATTACGAGCGAATAAATAATCGAAAAACTTTAACGGCAAATTGTGTTCTGATAGCACTTCCCGCCTCCTAAAATAAAACCTTTTGCTTAGAGAAATTAGCGTTCTACAAAAATTTATGGAAAAAAATGATTGAAATTTATACCAAAAATGCGAATAAACCCTGACTTCCGATTAAAAAAGAATACGATAAGAAGAGCAGACCGCTCATTTAGTATCGAGTAAATTATCTGAACCAAGCTTTACTCAAAACCGAGCTTTTCTCCAAATTCGAAAAAATGGTTATGATTTTGTCAACATTTTTCAAAAAAGATCAGAGAAGAGCTTTTTAAAATTTCAAATATAACTTGTCAATTAATGTCAAAAAACGACAGGAAGCAAGTAAAAAAATATACATAGGCCCAAATTTAACCAACTGAAAAATAGCCTAAATATTTTCGGTTAAGAACAATACAAAAAAATCTTTCATCTACCATTACAAAGCAAGCTCTAGCCCGTAAGATGCAAATTTGTAACTTTGCCATTTCGAACTAGCTTTAGTGAACTAAGTTTTTTAAGGGGAAAAAGTCTAGTACTCGGGTGCAATACGCCCCTGCTTATCGCTAGTGTAACCATGGACAACTTTAACACAGCGGCTAAGCTTGGGTTCGCAAACAGTAGCGCGAACACGACAAAAAGCAGCTCTAGAAAGTGCACCAAGAAAAAGTAGGCATAAGCCTCGAATTAGTAAATATTCGGCTAGGTGTAGGAATCGATCTGCGATCTACTGCAAAATATAGATTTAGAGTCTCACGCACTAAATACTCAGCCACGCACGCTCAACCATCGACAAACACAAGTCAGGAATGAAGCAGCTACAAATGCTAATAAATGGCCAAGGCAATTCAGCAAAATGGGCACCAAATACAAATAGACACAATTTCGCAAGTAAAAATTTGGAATATAACAAACTGAACGCATCCACACTAACTTTGCATGTAACAAATCGAAAAGCATAGAGCCACATTATGTAAAAAATTATGCATTACAAAAATGGCGAGATATATTGAGCTAGAAAATTTCGGAAATCGTGTTTATATTATTGTTATGTTGTCTGAAACATGGCTTTTTTTTGGTTCTTTGATGAATTTAAAATGCATCAACTATGTTAACTTATTACTATTCGAATGTCAAAGCACATTCTATCAAAAAGCTGTAAAGGTGCCCCAAAAGTGGCACCACTATTTGCGATTTAGCTTAGAAAAAAAAAGGTTTTTAGCTAGTAATACACTAAGCTGACGCTAGTGTAATCAATCAAAATTTGTTATGGAAATTTTTATCAGTTTCAACACAGCGGCGAAGAGAAGCTCGCACCACTTGCGAAACAAATGGAATATAGTATGACAAACTACACGAAAGTCGCAAAAAACAACTTTTTTAATGTCAAAAAAATTGATCTGCCGTAGTTTTCCTATCTTCGTCTTGATGTTGTCTTAAACAAAGTTCCTTCTGAGAAAAACATCCCAATTCAAACATTGGAATGCTAATAAATAGAGCATCGAAATAAAACTTGCGAAGCAGTATCAAAGCCGATACTTTTTGTCCCATTTCCATTGTCCTTCAATTTTTTGTCCCTTCATCAAAAAATAAAAACGGCAAAATGGAAGCGAAGCATGTGAATGACCAATAGAAAAAATGCCATGAAAAAACGGACGTCCTAATTCACTCCACTCCGTTCATTAACAGTTTATGAGCTCGAAAAAGAGTGCGATCCAAATAACAGATCACTTATGCTAGGGTCGATTAAAATGATGCAATTATGTAACCATTTGTGGATCATTTTACACTTCAGCTGGTCAAAAAAATAATTCATTTACCGACGCTAAATTGCAAACTAAATAATTTTGGAATCAAAATTTGGAAAATTCACCATTATATTGCATTTTAAATTTCAATATACAATTTAAGAGGTTTGCTTGTCATTCCTCGCTAATTTCTTCTCGTGATCCCCATCCTGGCGAGACCCCCCCACGTTTATTCAACAGCACATGGCTAAGATGTGCTTTTGGCACGGATATGAGCATCTTTGTTTGCAAATGAGGAAAGCTCTGTTCAAATAGCCCAATTGAGGAAGGTGTCGAAACACTTGATGGGAGCTGTTCGTTCCAAATTGCACGCAGTTCTCATACACTCACTCGCTCCTGTTTCATCACACTTTTCCTTCAGTATTTCTCCCAGCAAACCCCTGTAGAACAGAAACAAGCTTATACACAGAGGGGAAGCTGCACCTCACGAACACAAGTGATGAAATGACAAATTTGTAGATTTCGTAAAATGACCTCACGCTCGCTATTACAACAAGACATTAGTCTCGATCGCCTTTTGTTGCCATAAAACCGAAGCAAGACTTCACATGGAAGCAAACTTATTTGAGTCGGCTGTACGAGATTTATTTCTTGTGCTCATATCTTGGTATGGTATGGTATGGTGTCTGTGTTGTGGGATACTTGCCAGCTCTTCTCGTCGTAGGGGTTCAATTGGATGCACTCTCTCAACACCTTCTCCCCACACTCCAGAGAGTCCTCCTTCATGAGACAAGTGGCCTATCAACACACACAATACTCACAATCGACACTTCCGGATACAAACAATAACAGCAACAAAAAGAACAACAACAACAAAGAAAAGAACAACAACAGATGTGTCAGCACAATTCATACCAAGTACGGCTAAATCCCGCTTGACACACTATCTCATTCGAGATCATAGTCATGCCAATTACGCCAGTATAGCATTGCATATGAGAAACACTGAGACATTATCCCAGCAACGTTAAAAAGCTTATTCTTCAAAAAATAAGGACCCAATTCCTAGGATATTGTTTAACGTGAGTCCCCCTCCCCCCTTAGGATCCGGGACACGATACAACACTCCTCGTGTTGCTGCACATATACGCCATGACCTTGCCTTAGCAACCAAACTATTTAGCCTAAGCGAATGTGGAACTTGATGATATTCAACACTAGTCATTTTAAGCCTACTGATCTTTAAGCAGTTATTTAAACTCACCAATCTAACTCGTGCATCTACTGCACGTGGGTTGAACACGAGTGCCTGTTTGTAGAAACTTTTGCTATCCTCCATGTTGCCATCTTCTTCGGCCAAGATGCCATTCTGCAACAGCAATACCATTGAAACCATAGGTGTACATGTAATATAGGACAGGTTAATTGGCTGAGGGGCTGTTAAGTTAAGAACAGAGATTGCCCCTGAAACTTCCAGCCACGCCACGCAACATCAGCGCTTTGCAATTTAAGTTTTCTTTGCACTACGAAAACGCATATATGGCGAAAACAATAATTCTAGTTACGATCAATCAGGTACGTACAGCACAATTCAATTGCTCGACAACCAAACTTTGTGTATATGATAGATACAAGGTTCTCGCTTTTATCCGTTTTATTTTCTTTTCATTCAAATAAACTTTTGTTTTGAGAAAAGATGGAATATTTATTCCTATTTTCGAAGGAAGGATAAAACATATATTTGTGCTGCGTTATTTTTTTTTCTTCTAAACACTTTTCAATGGAGCTTGTTATTCCATCTGAAAAAATATTGACACCCTAATCTCAAATTAAATAAGATATTTTTCTGTTTCCACTTTTGTTCCGAAGAAAGTGAGGAATATATACGCCCGGTTTTTTTTATTCAGACCCATTTTAGAAAAGTTGACTGCGTATGGGCATCGATCCGAAAATCTTAGGACTGCCGTGCAATTAAGCTTACACTAGACTAAAGTGCGGCTTTGCTGTTGGAATAATATTTTGATAAGTGGATTATTTATGCGAGGCGAATCCGCACTCATAATTGTTTCAAATTGAAATGAGACATGCTAATTGGTCGTATTAATTCCATAAAAGACTCAAATTTTAACAACCTGACAACACCAGCCTAAAAATTGTAGTTTGTCATTATTTCAGATACCAAAAACTATTCGAGACCAATTAATGGGCAGTCGACACATTCAGAGCTTTGCCCTTTTGCCCTGATACGAGCAGTCATGATCAATTTTCGTAAAGTAACAGTGGTTTAAAAATTGACAACTTGGCTGATTTGGGACAATTAACGCGCAGTATATTACGCCCTACTAACGCGTGAGCGCCTATTTAACACTGCTCACAAACCATTCCAAAGTGTCTTGAGGCAAGCTATTTGGATTAATTAATATGTTACTAGACGCTAAAAAATCACTTTGAACTTTACAGAGGGGCTTAGCGTAGTGGTACGGAGTTCACTTTGAGGTTTTCAGATCATTTATTCGATCCCTTGCGATGTCAAGGATTGCGCGAGGACGCGCTCTCACTTGAACTTTAGCCCTACAGCCTGATCCATTTCGGCTGCAATAGTGATACCATGTGAACGTTCGATGTGCAAAAAATGTGCAAATTAACGAAAAAAAATATGCCATTAAAACTCATGAATTTCACAAATAATTTATCATTGACTCTTCTTTGATAAAATTAACCCAATTTGAGAAAACTGGATCAATATAAAATTTTTATTTTGCTGGGTAATCTGATTACTAAAATCTTTTTCAAAATTAGAAGTATATATTTTTTTTGAGCCATTTACACTGCTGTTTGATAGTGAAGTTTACCTTCCTTCTAACAAATCGAAAGTGAACAACCTTTAAGACTTTTTCTGAGAAAAAAAACGAACAAAAAACCATCACGACCTAAAATTCACTACGTTCATGACCAGCAAATGTTACTTTAAAGAATATTTCATGTTGCATGAATATTTAATCTAAAAAATATATCATAGCCGACATACAACAAACACACAATCGCCTCAAGGATAATGACTTTTCTAAAATTAAGAAAAAAAAATCTTTTTAGAGACTTAAAAATAAATGTCTTGAAACCTTTTTAAATTCAGTCAAGACCTTAAAAAATGTCTTCACTTCGCGCATTAACACTTTAACAGATATAAGAAGCAACGACAGTGGACAGAAACCGGAAGCTTTGGGGCCAGCGAATCTGGAGGTTGCGCTGCTTCACAGTGTTCAATTATTTTGAGAGTGATTGTTGAAGTGAGTTAGCGTGCAGTGCAACTCACAGCATAATGGTAGTGGTACATTGCACTCTCACTCCTGATGCACTTGGTGAACTCCTGCAGACAGTCCTTGGCCTGCTTGTGGTTATTAGTCTTCACACAGAACTCCAGCATCACGATCCAGATGTTCAGGTTCACATCGTCTTCCGGGGACACTCCGATGCTGTTGCCTCCTCCCCCTCCCATCTGGTGGCTGCCGCTGTGACGCGGGGAGTCCATAGACGAAGCAAGGCCTGCATTAAAACAGCTACAACTGCAAATGAACTCAATCCGGTGTTCTTTAAACCGATAATTAATAGAAATTCAGGTATCGGAATTGAGTCATCTGTCTTCTATGTAACTGCTTGAACATTTCTGCTCTAATTTGAGAATTTTTCATATGTAGCAAATTATGCAAGTTAACACGAGCGTTCTCTACAGAAATGAAAAATAGAGTAGTCTACCGATCGAATCAAGCAGATATCTCAACAATGAGCATCAGAACTTTCTCTTGAGAGCATTTACATAGACAATGGTACAATTTGGAGCCAAGGGGCTCCCTTGAATGGTTCAATGAGTTAAATTGAAGCACGAACCTCCCTCACTCAAGGTGTAGTTGTCGAGGAAACTCATGGAAGCGGCAGCCCCACTTCGACTCATCTGACCATCCGTGTTCCATCCATCTATCGAGGCACTATTCACCCTCAGAGTGAACAACTCAGACGCCTGCGATCTGCCCAGGGTGCTGTTCAGGGTATTCTGGGCTGTCAGTGTGGGAGCACCCCCTCCCACTCCCACTCCCATTCCTCCGCCCACACTGGCAGCACTCAGCTGCCGATCCACGCTGGCTGCTGTCACAGACTGGCCATCACTAAACCAATCACAACATGCTTCCATTCTCTAAGAATGATACTTTCGCTAAAATATACTTTTTGGATAAGCAGCCTGACGCGGACAACAATGCATTGAGCTCGATTAAACTATGGCTTGCTTCTAATGCCTCTTTTACCAAAGTCATCACATGCTTTACAACATGTAAGCTGGCACTCACATCAAACGTCGAACAGAGAACGCAACAAGTCTGCACTACATGACCCAAGTAGTGTTGAATAATTAGTCACTAGTATTCATTACAGTGCGTCATATATCTATGAATGGGATATTTGGACATGTGCAATATGCCCTCTCTAATCTGCACTGTCCTCTCACCTGAAAAAGAATGAAGGGAATCCGAGTCGGGTCATCTGGACAGCCATAGTCTTCAGATTCCTGGCTGCCACACTCGGCCCATACATCTTCTCTTCTATGGCCGTCTTCAGAAATAACAACCTAAACACTCAATTATTCTCCACCAAAATTTCCACACAATTCTCCCTATTTCCTACTCATTTCTAGAGATAGCAAGAGATCTCTTTAACTTTCCCTTTTTTTGCAAAGCAGGGGGATTCAGTACCAGGTACAAAATATTCTCATATTTTTTGCTTTTGAAATATTTCTTTAGAAGGCTGGCAGTAAATTACCAAGTACCAGAGATCCGAAAATTGTCTACTTATTTTAAACTAATTAATTCAAAACTAGGCACGGATCTTCGTTAAATCTCAAAAAATAACTCAATTTACTGGCATCTTTAAGTAATCTTGAAGCAATCCTGTCAATAACTCACGTCAAATTCTCTGCATTTCCTTCTAGATATGAAGCCACCAGATCCAATGCATCTACGTACTTCTTCATGGATGTCAGCAGCAAAATATTCAGCTCTTGGGCGGGAGGAAAATCCTATTAATAAACCAGTTTTATGGTAATGCTTAACAAACAAGAATTTTACTCCATTCAAATATAATAAAAAAATTATTTGAACCTCAATTGCAGTTCTTTAAAAAAAAGCTTACAAAATGGATGAAAAAAGAATCACGAGTGCAACATTAAGACAAGCATGTTAATGTCTTGTAGATTTCGGGGATTGCTTCTCTAGGCCCGTTCACACACTAACTTAACGGCACCGCAAAGTGGTCCCTTTGGTAATGAATTCAGCGGGGCGAACGAGATTCACTACTATCCACAATCTCGAAAGGGTTAAGTTGGTGGCAACTATTCCGTACGGTATTTTGTTACCTGCCCCTTTAATACTGCTCCTGTGGCTGTCTCGTCCGCTATCATCGATCGCAAGAAATTCTAGCTGTAATTAAACTCAGATAAAAATTGGTCCAAATACAGAAGGCTCTAGGCGGCCAGATGATAATCTAGTAATCTAGTCAAAAAGAAAGGGTCCGCGATCAATCAACACAATTGACTAATTGCGATTCAAATCCCAACTGACTTAGCTGACAATTATCTCTTTTCTAGAGAATCCTAATTAACCAATTACACAGTAATTCCACACAATCACTCAATCTGACCTCCTAAAAATAATAGTGTCACTAAGGATCACTATTCCTTTGAGGTACTTTTACTGATCTCTTTACTTCACGATTGCTGATTCTCTAACTCGGAGAACCAACTAGACTCTAGTTTCGCTATCTGTTCTCTAACTAACGGTAAAAACTATCCACTAACTTTGCAATAATTGTTCTCTAGCTAATGCGAATCAACCATTCGCTCTCACAGCACAATGGTTCTGTCTAAGGGTAGGCTGCTTGTTATTCTCTATAATGTTTATCTATATGAGTTTTAGTTATAGTTAGAGTTATGTCGTCCCCAAAGTCCAGACATTTACTTTGGTACCCATTTCTCAAGGTCTTAGTTGAATTTTTCCTCTGATGACATTAGTCTTAAATTCCAAGTTCATTATAGGCATCTCTAACTAAGTGGTGCTAATATCACGTCCAATTTCACTTCCAAACCGAGTTATGTTAGATTAACCAATCTCCCAAGGTTTTTATTCAATTATCCCATCAACGTTCCGACCTGCCGGGGGTAGGGAAAGATCCTTTCTATGAGTAGCTACTTCACTTCAAGCATCTAAAATTCCGTGCAAAAACTATTCAAATCTCGACCTTCTAGCCATCAGGGAAACGTAATTCGTTAATTAAGTACCAAACTGTACTAAAAAGCCACCTCCGGGAAGCTGGATAAGTATCCCGCCCATTCATATTATTTAGAAAACCTACTTCCCATGCTATGATCCTATTACCGCCAATTTTCTCTGGCTACATTCCTTTAGTCAGATTGAATTTCTAAAAAGCTAAGTTGAGCCCAATGTTTGCCAAGTCCACTTAAATTAGTTCAACTACTTCAAGGATACAATGTATAACTCACACCTCTTTCATTCTGCTTCATTTCCCAATAGGTAAGTTCCTTCTCAAATATTAGATGGTGAACGATTCTCGTTTCCAAAGGTTGGGGAATATGCCACTTTCCGGTGTTAATCCCAGGGTTTTCTATGCAATTTTAGTCCTAATCGCCTAAAGGTTATTTAAAGGTCACTCCGGGGTCAATCTTCCACATTCAGGTTTAGAATCCCATAGGGGTCCTACCTACCAAGTTTCATCCATATCATGTTAATACTTCCCAAGTTATCCCATTTATGATGTCCATTATCACTTTTCCCGGGAAAAGGCTATTAACACTGGAAGGAGTCTTCGGAGGGGTTTTACTCACTAGGGCTCTTTCTCGGGGATGAGTTATAGTGTCTAGTGCCAACGTAAAATTTTTATGCCCCCGCTCATTATTTTGCATAAACTGCCTCCTTCCGGTCAAAAGGATGTTTTTCCCAAATGCTTCAAACTTCCGGTCCAACCGCCGGATTTGGCTCATATTAAAACTAGTGATTAACCTTGACACTACCTATGATATCTCAAACTTTTGGCTCCCTGCGTTCAATTGGGACCGAGAAACAACTTCCAGAATTCGACGATGGAGGACTGTTTTCTTAGGGCATTTATCAGCGCCGTATATCCGGAAGTTCTTATCCCCTGGTCTTCTAGGGTTGCATGTGTTTCTAAAAAGAACCATAGAATTGGCATTAAAATTTTCAAAATCCATTCGCTGTGTTAGTGCGGGACGTCTAAAGTTTTTATACATCATGTTACACCATCGGCAACAGGTGATTTTTTTTAAATCTCGCAAAGTTGAGATGTCCTCATGAGCCAATTTCGTGCCTGGTATAAGAAGACCTAGGTTGCGGTTTTCCGAAAAGTATCGATAATGACTTTGAACCCTGAAAATGTTTTAAATTTTGATCGTTCTGATTCGTTCGCCTTAGGCTAATAATCACTCAACTGAACCACTAAATTATCGTAGGCGTACAGTTCTAAACCTCTCAGTCCAGGGTAATGCTATTTAACACGAATCTGCAAGTTAGTCGAAATTACAGTAGAATCACCAAATTCTACATGTCTCCTCATTACACTTGTCTCCTCATATCCCATCACATCAAAAATTTAAATTTTTCGAGAATCATAGCTTGTTGTGTGAAAAACTTTGGGCTCAGCCACTTATGTAGAAGAATTTCAGGCAACCTGTAATTTCGATTGCACCCAAAAAATTCAGAAAAATAAAAAGTTAAGAAAATCAAAAGTAGTTTTTGAGAGAATCAAAAATTTCCAAAAAAATGGTCGAAAAAAGGTCGACTTTTCCTAGTGTCATAACTTGTGTCAAAAAATGAGAGTAGACGCGTATTGAAAGAAGCTTTTCACAACCCGTTCTTCGAATTGAACAAAGATATGAGAGGGTAGTTTTCGAAAAAAAATCAAAAGGCACACGCGGGAGTAGGCTGTTTTTCCATAGATAGACTTTTATGAAAATCAGTGGAATAGTTTTTTAGAAACACTGAAAACTTTGCAGAAGAGAAAATTTTCGAAAACGTCTTGAACGCAAACCCAATCCCATAAATTTTCAAATTACACAATTTTACAAAATATGAACTTTGAGCAAACATGCCAAGCAAGATATTTGAATTTAAATCAGCAACGGAACAAGAGTTACGAAGTGGAAACAAAGCCGACAAGCTTTGAGCAGACACCCATTGGGACTTAATTTTTTTCTCCAAAATTTAAAGTCTCCCGAACCTGCAACTAACAATACTAGCAACTACCATGATACTTGTTTTAATAACAACAGAAATCCGTGCTGTGGCAACTAAGCCAACTTAACTTGAGCGAATAAACAAAGTCTGACAAATCAAATTGCTCGCAACTTTTGTGTTAGGCAATGAGAGAGTAGTTGTCGAAAAAAATCAAAAGGCAACGGGGGAGTAGGCGGTTTTTCCATAGCTAAATTTTTTTTCGAAAATAGGTGGAATCGTTTTTGAGAAAAACTTAAATTTTTGCATAAATACTGAAAAAAAAACAAAGTCCGACCGGGATTCGAACCCCGTACCTCAAGGCGTTACTTCTAGGCCAAGTGCGAAGGAACCTAGAATTTGTTAAAGCTCAATAAAAAAGCAAGTTGGAAATTTCTAAAAGTTGTTTACCGAGAAGTGTAGTTCCGGATTACAAGACACTTGCTTTTGCAAGTCTACCAACAAAACGATAAGATTCAAAAAGAGAAAACACGGCCAACAGACATCTGGAAAGGAATCAATGAACGCAAGACAACAAAAAAACACTTGGGAGATTTTCGAATTTCGAAAAAATATATATGCCCTTAAAACTCTTTGAATGCTTGGAACAATTCTGATTGGCACTTTATGGAAAAATTAAACCAAATTGAGAAAAAAGAATCAATAAAGTTTTTGCTGTTCGACAGTGGAGTTTGCCTTCCTTTTAACAAGCGAAAAGAACTAAACTTAATTAGAAATCAAAAGTCAAGCCAAGAAAAAGTAAACTTGAGCCTGAACAAACTTTAAGACTTTTCCAGAAAATAGACGAACAAAAAGCATCATGACCTATAAAAGATTCTGAACTACGGTCATCGACTCTTAAAAAATATTCACGAAAAACAAAGACAACATTTCAACGAAAATGAATGAGAAAAGATGACCCGAACAAAATGCGTATTTTCGTTGAACTCATCTAAAGTTCGGTCGTTTTTTATACAAAGACCCACTTCCAAACTTTTTTGATTGAAAGCAAGCAAACTGTCAACGAGTGCTCGACAAGAGTTAATGAACTCGAGGAAACCAAAAAAAAGAATTCGAAAGATGAAAATTCATTAATCATTTTTTTCCTTTTTGTAATCTTTCGAACTCTGTATCAGAGGAAAACTGTATCATATTTAAGCACTTCGAACCTGAAGGTCCTTTTAAGATCGATGATTTCAAAACAAAACTCCAATAGAAATAGAAGATCTGGACCAATGAGTTAATTTTAATTCCGCAGGGAATATTTCAGACATATTCCACTTTCAAAAAAAATTCATCGAGCTTCTATTGAATAATTTGCTTTTTTTTCATTAAAGGAAAGCGTAAGTATGCCTCATTTTACCAAATCAAAAAAAACTGAACTGATACAAAAAATAATTCAAACCGCAAATCAAATCCTAGCGGAAATAAATTTAATTATTTTTCTCAAAAAAAAAAACACGGAATTTAAATCAACCATAAGTCATTTCGTCAATAACACTTACACAGAAAAAATGAATTCTATTGAGTCAGTGATTTTTCCCGATTAAAGCTCTGGGTTGAAATAAGGACAAAAATAACTAACAAGTACTCCTTCAAAAAACAGTATATTTAAAGATATCTTATTTATGAAACTTCTAAAAATTTTAACACTGACATTTTTTCTACATTAATGAATGTAAAAAGCCTTGCAATAACGTGCATACGTCATTGCATAAGCACACGGACACGCTTGAACAATATTTACTTTCAGAGGAAAACATTGAAGTTTGATTGTTGAATATACAAAGGCGAAGCGAAGCTCTGGGCCACTTGCAATACCACGCAAACATATAATTGCAAATTAGCAGACAAAAAACGAAAGGAAAGCCAAAAAGAATTCAGAAACATTTATCGAGCAGCAACTAAGCAGACAAACGTTGTATAAACACCCTTTGAGCCGAAATCAAAGAGTCTTTTGAAACGTTTGAAACTAAATTTCTACGCCTCCCTCCTACGACGAAAAACCAAGTCACTAAACCGATAAACCATAAGCCAAAACAACTGACGGGAAACAAAGCTTTTAACTTATTATATATCAGGATGAAGATCTGGGAATTTCCAGAGCAATCTATTATTGAAAATTTTTGCTAAATGAGTAAATTGTATATTCCGGTGGCAAATCTAAAAACCACAATGCGCTTTCGAAGCTGGTATCTTTCACGGTTTTTTTTCGTTTAATTTTCATTTTCGTAATTGGAGAGCCTAATTTACCTTAACTTTTAGCAGATGAATTTGAATTGAACTCAAAAAGTGTATATACCGAAGTACATTCATAACTGCATTAACATTTGTGGTTGCACTTCTGTAATTATGTAAATATTCAATCAATTAGAAGTTCTTGCTAAAAAAAAAATCGTATAAGACTTATATAAGTTGAAATAATTGCGTTCTTTTACAATAAACTAAACTGACGGAGTGATATTCAGCCAAACAAAAAAAACGTCATCCAAACAAAAAAAAACGTTCAATTACAATGAAAACCGATTCAGTAATGGAAAAAATGAGAAAACTATCAAAAATAAGAAAACTATCTAAGACTTTAGACACAGGGTCGAGGCTGCGCTTCGCAAACACTAGCGAGAAAACGACAAAAAGCAGCTCTATAACAGGCAATAAGAAAAGAAAAGGTCAAAAAAAGCCACAAAAAAAATAAAACTTCTGCTGTGGCTGATTCGATACTACGACCAGATTAAAAGATCGCGGTTCTCGCATCTGCGCCACAGGCCCTTGACAATTTACTAACTCCTAGCTAGGTCACATTCAAACCCAGGACCTCTACTGTACCAGGCGTATCTGTTAACTCCAGGCTAAGCGTTCCGGAGACGGTGAGAAATTTGAATTCATGGGCCATTATACCAACTGATTCTGCTAAACAAGTTGTTATCCCGAAAAAAAATATTCATTCCGATTTGCTTACGCTTGCGAATAGCAAGCGTTAAGAAAAGTATATTGGAAAAAATGGACATGAAACACCGAGGCAGCTAACAAAACGATATGCTTCTGAGATCCTGCGAGCGTGACCTCAGAATTGGAAAAAAAGGTCTAGTTCCGATTACAAGACACTTGATCTGGCAGTGAAAAGGTGGACATACAAAAAGGAGACAGGTACTTGCCTCGTAGTCCCTAATAAGACGACACGCTTCTGAGATCCTGCGAGCTTTGGCCAAACACAAAGCGTAGTTGTAAGCAATAATGGGCTCCATGTCATCAAGCTCGTAAGCTCTAAAACACCAGTCAAATTTGATACTGAAAAAAAGGTTTCGTATTTCGTAATAAAAAAAACATCAAAAAAAATTCAAATGGATGCATAAATTATTCATTGCTAGAGGATGAAAAAGGACTTTTAAGCATGTAGTTCTCGACGAAATGCGGGATGGAGTAGCAAGCTGTGTCTGTCAGAGAATGATCTCGTATATTTCAGATCAATTGTAGTCTATAAAATAAATTAGCGCGTAACGCACCTACGGTGCTTCGAATTTTTAACAGCTCAAAAAAACTGCATTTATTGGAAATAAGATCTGCATCCTTTGAAAGTACTCTGACAGCACCCAATTACAGGAAGGGATGGTAATTTCAATTTTTTTAAAGTTTTTTTTTCAACTCAAATTTTGAAAAAATTTGTGAAGTTCTTTATATCTTAGTTCTTTGCAATTTTAAAACGAAATAAAAAACGTCACATCTCGGAATAAAGAGCATTGGAGCAGTCACATTTGGACGCACGCAAGATTTACAACTTGCAACTCCTGAGAGTACCCTCACAGTTCCCAACTACTAGGTTGGGAATTTCAGTTCTTTTTTCTGAAAAATTTAAAAGAAATCTTAAACCACGTCTATCATATCTCGACTACTACAAGGATCTGAAAAGTCATAATTGGAGCCAAGACTAGCAATCCTTGAGAGTACTTTGACAGCACCCAACTACAGGGTTGAGAATTTCAAACTTAGTGAATGATTTTGTAATTTGAGTTCTCTGAAATTTTTTTTAAAAAATCACAAAAATCCCTGAAAGCATCCCACTTTCAGGCTGCTTATTTATAATTCGGTGAAATGAACACTGAACTCGAACAGCAAAATCGAAAACATAGCCAATCGAAGATTGGAAAAGAGTAATGAACGCAAGTAACTATAAAAAAAAACAGACTTTCTTGAAAAAATCTCAACTTTCGAATATAAAGAAAAAAATAGACGCCCTTTAAGCTCTTTGAGTTTTTAGAACAATTGAAGATGGGCGCTTTTTTGATAACATGAACCCAACTTGAGAAAACTGGATCAATAGGCAAAGTTTTTATTCCGCTGGGAAACCTTAAAAATAAATTCAACTTTCGAAACTAAAAATCGTTCGTTTTTTTTTGCGCCAATTCCACGTTTGTATTTGGAGAGTGCTATTTACGACAGGTTCAGCAGATAAATTTCAATTGAACTCAAAAAGCGCATTATACCTAAGTGTATCAATATTTTGAAGACTTTTTCCTGGAAAAAAAACCAGCAAGACCTATATAAGAGTCTTCACTACGTTCAATACTCTTAAAAAAATGCTTAACCATTGCAAAATGCGATATAACTTAAATGTGAAAAAATTCTTTCGGTAAGCATGCAAAAATAATACCTTGAAAAAACTCGCATTTCAAAAACTTTGAAATGCCCGCATTTAAATGTATAATAGATAGATTCAGTCTGCACAAAGTGTGCATAATAACACCTGGCGGTAATGATATCCCATGGTGATTTTCGATCACTGTCACTTTTTGTAATTTTTCTCCTATTTTGCAGACCATCAGACACTATTTTAAGACCATTCCTCCACGAGGAAAAAAGCGACATACGAGGCGATCAACTCTTTTCGGAGAAGCCTATTGTCTTGTCCAGCCTAGTTAAGAGCTGCTTGCAATTTTTTCCAGAACAGGGAAATGATGCCTTAAACCATCAAGCAACGAGTAGGAATCATGGTGGGCATCTCAACTCCTCGATGTTTCGACTGAGGGGAAGGGGAAATGTGGCCACTTCCTGTCTCTCTCCCATTGGCCTTCATTCATTAGCTTACAAAACCAATGATAGTTCAGAAAAGTAGCTTTTGCGAGGTTGCATTTAAATTAGTCTGAATAATTCCCACTTGAATTTATTCAGATTGTCGAAAAGAATGAATTTGTTTGTCACTTTGTTCATAAATGAAACTACGCCGCCCTCTCCTCTCCCTTTCTCTCCATAAATAGGAGTACATGCTTTCACTCACTTGGCGAAATGATTTCTCGCAGCCTCCCACGCTTGGTTTTTATCGCTAATATTAACAGTTGAGCTTTCGGCCTTCATCGCATACGCAACAGCCATCAATAAATAGATCTTGGCTTCATCATAACATGTCATATCTGCACTTTTCCCACTGGCTTCCAGCGCCTTCTCCAGACTCTCAATGGCAACCAGAGGTTCCCGGATATTCTGCAGAGCTACTCTGGCAATGAGACTGTGGTAGAGGTAGTTGGTAGGGTCCAGTTTGGCACACTCGCGTAGCACTATGATGCCCCTGGCGTATTTGCGGGCACTGATTAAGGAGAGAGCGTATTTGAACCACATTTCCTTGTCCTCGAACGCAACTGACATGCCACGTTCGACAGCCTAAAACACAGACACACTATTTTCTATGTTCCCTCCCTTCTTCCTCTGTCACAAGCAAAACACAAATCACTTAGTTTGGATGAGCTGCTCTTGCTTGATACTGATACATATTTAGCTAATTGTTAGAAATCAACGATTAAAACTTTCCGCTCAAATATTAAATCAGCAATTCAGCTGTGACGACATACGATAACAGATGAGATGAGTTGTAGACTTTTTATGAATACAATGATTTAGATCAAGGATAGAGGAGATATATATGATAAGGTTGTTTGAGCTGTGTGTATGTGAGTGTGTGTGTATGTGAGTGTGTGTGTATGTGAGTGTGTGAGTATGATGTACCTGTGAGAGTAGATTGTACTGCTGTCCATTGGAGAGCACTATGGTCAGCAGATCCAGCACAAACTTCTCCTCCTTCAACTTCTTCGTCCGCAACACTTCGTGTTCACTCCCCATGTCCAACACCAACTCCTTCGAGATCTATCAATCAACAGGCAAACACGTACACAATAGCATGTAAGCCAAGATTCCATGCAGACAAACACTCGTCATCATTCTAACCGAAAGGGCAAAAGAAAACATTCATCAAAACTAATCCAAAACCGAACATGGATAGACGGTTACTGTGCTGATAGCGCAGAATGTTCCGGCTATCATGAGTAAGTACAGAAACTTGAGTAAGTACAGAAACATGAGTAAATACAGAGTAAGTACAGAAAATAATTTTATTTCAAAAAAAAACAAAAAAAAAATCGAAAAAAAAAACAAAAAAAAAAAAAACGTTCGATTTGTTTATGAAATCCTGGTTGTTCTTTATTCATAAAAAGCACTTAAACAACACAAAAAACAAACTGCATAATGAGAGATAATTGCTGTAAAAATTAACTTAAAACTACAGAATAAATAAAATAAGTGCCATCAAATTATGAGCATTTCGGTCTCAAAATCAGATAAATCAGACTTTAAAGATACACAGACTTTTTGATTTTTTTTGGAATCGAAATCACTGTTGAAAGGCTTCAAAATTTTCTAGTTGATTTCGTGGCAGATATTCTTAAAGTAGTCAAAATTGGGTAGAATTAAAGGGAGTGGTCGGAACACCAGGATAGAGTTGCTGCGCAAGCACAGAATAATTAGGCCAATATCTGGAAAGATGTTTTACCGATTAGCCGAAACTCAACCGCTGCCCCTTGATCACGAAACTACATCACAAAATCTAAGGACAGCTATAAAAAAAAAGAAAAACGGAAGAATTTCATTTTTTGATGATGTTTTCTCATTTTTGGGGGCGTAGCGGCATTGAAAAAAGAAACAAGCTGCAAGCTTGGGTAAAAAATAAACATAAAAATATAAAAATTATGTCACAATTAGATAAGGAGTTCAGCCTCTCATTCAATTATTCCAATCCTTTTTGTATATTTAGTCTGAAAAACGGATAAATGCACATCAGTTCTTCTAGACACTGCTTGGACCCTTAGAGCTTCCTTCTACGAATCTGAAATCAACTGTAAGAATATCCACCCTACGCCAGAGATCCGTGAATTGCTGAAACCAAAAATCCTTATATACAAAATAGAGGCACGAAACCCGTAGCAAACCTTTCAGAATTGATAAGAACAAAATCTTACAGGTAGTTGTGTATGTCAAAATTATAGAAACAAAAGAAACTATAGGTTTGTGAGTTCTTCTTTCGGTTCAACTTTGTACGCCCACACAAATCCGGTTGCCTCGGAGACAACCTAAATCTTGCAATGAAGATCAAACAGCCGATATATTTAGCAAAGAACAAACCATTTCAGCGAACAAAATCAACTTCTTTCAACTTAGAGCAACTACCATTGGTGAAAGAACTCGCCATTTTCCACCCCCAGGACAATTACACATTTAACATCCCCTTGTGAGACTAGATTGGAAAAGATGTGGGCAGTGGGGGTGAATCAATAAACTGCAGTTTGGCTAGTGCATCATTCTTAGACATGTTTTAGACTCCGTAAATTGTGCACCTCGTTGCTGAGCTGTGAAGTTCATTATGAAGTCTTTACAACAGGGACTTTCTCCAGTAATTTTAAAAAGCAACAGCTATTCCTCTTCATAAGGGTAAAAGGAGGGCAGATGGAAACAATTACAAATCTATCTCCCTTCTTTTGCTCTGGTTCACCAAACTTACTCATCATTTGAAATCCTTCATTTAATTTATATCTGAATAGGTTCCGTTATTTTGAAGCAATTCAAATAAACAATTAACACTTGTTAATGATATTCACTTGACAATTTAAGCTAACTTGTCAGTTTTGGACACAATTAATGGTTTGAAAGTTATCTGAGCAAAGAAAACCAGTGGTAGCTGTTGTGTCTCTAGGGTTGATCTTCTGTCTACTTTTTTTCCCTAATTTGATGATTTGCCCGGCCATTGTAAATAATCGTAATTGTTTTTCGATCAATACAAAATTAACCATAGACAAAATGAGCCAGTTCAAGTTGATTTAGAAAACATAACTAGCTAAATGCCAATAAATTAGTGTTACTTCTCGACAAAACTGAGCAAATGGATTTACACAATCAAAGACAAAAAGGACATGTACCCGCCATGAATGATGCTTTGATAACTTGATACGCTTTCAACACTTGAATCACATATTGATTACGTTCTTTCAAGGCTGGGGAACCAATGCGGTGTGATGTGTCAAGCAATCAATTTACCAATTTTTTCCCAGCAAAATAGCTCAAATTACTCAACAGGAAGTTTTCGTTTACAGGTGTACAAATTTTTCTAATGAAAATGCAGTCTTTGCGATGCAAAACCAAAAAAAATGAGGCGTATTTATTTCAGAAGTTCAGCTCATTCTGAGGATCTTTTCATGTCATGCAATTTTACAGTTGTATTCATACAGTTTTACTGATTATGAATTGCACGTTTATGAACTGATGAAATGTGCTTAGCTTTCGATTATTTCTATAGAGTTTCTTAATAATTCATTTAATCTTATTAGCTCAAACAGCTAGTCGATTTCCTCGAAAAACGGAAAGGTCATTAATTAATTTCAGTACAAAAGAGTTTTTTAAGTCTCTTATGAGATAATCTTTTGCCCCAAAACATGAGTTCATATATCGTTTGTTCATCAAGATCTTATGTTTCCTACATCCCCAGTAAGACGGAATTACTCAAGTTTTGATCAAAAAATTTATTCGTTTCAATTTATCCTTCGAAATTGGGTTTCCAATTTCCTTTGAGGAACTGGTATCATCTTGAACTTGTGTATTAATTGATGCCACATGTACTCAGTTGCTTGTTCTCTATTAATGTAGCCTCCAGCCAACTCTATTGGTTTTATGGAGTTAGAAGGGACAAGTTCAATTGTGGATTGAACAAGTTAAATGAATTCAGGTGCCCAAGACTAGCAAACTTTTGGAGCCAATTTTTTTTTAAATAGCTTCAACTGTACAAATCAAAGTTTCAAGCTTGTTGGTCTTAACAGAAAAAATTACTCGGCATAATTTCCATTGAATCACAATTGTTTTAATAATCCGCCACGTATGAGCAATATTCGATTACAATGATATTTTCTAACCTCAATTTGTATACTGTATCATGAAAAATAAAATATATGCACAGGTGCTAAGCTGAGCTTCGCATTAGTTGTGATACAACACAAACCAAAAACACAAACTGAAAAAAAAATGAAAAACTAGGTCTACCAAAATTTATTATTTCTTAAGTCACGGTAGATGTTCAGTTTAAGCAAAAGAACCAGACATTTTAATAGTATATTAGCACCAGGGAAAAAACAAAACCGACAATCTTTGCGCAGACACAAGTTGAGCCAGAAAATGATTTTCAGTCTCCCTTGAAACTACATTGAACAACACTTGCACTTGCAACTACAATGAAATTGCTTACAGTACAAGCAAACTTTGTGATGCGGCAGCTAAGCCGAAAAACTTGAGCAGACAAACGAAAGTCTGACAATTCAAAACTTACAAGAAAAAAATTATCAGAGAAAAAATTTTGGAAGGAAATTAATATAAAAATTTTGAGCGATATATTTTGAATTTCAACTTTTATACTTCAACCGACCAGATTTGTTCATATTAAAATTAATCATTTTGTGCAGTAAAGCCAACGCAAAAAAGTTTCACTAAACCGACAAAACATAAGCCGAAGCCTAAATTATCATTTACGTCGAATAAAATCGTATTAAAATTTTAAAAAAACGAAAAAAACACCAGTCATGGGTAGCCAATTTACAAACTACAGGAATTCATCAACGACACTTGAACTACAATGAAAACTGCTTCCAGCGCAAAAAAAACGAGGTGTGGCAACTAAGACGAAAAACCAGTCTATTCCATTTTTCCCTTTGAAAATTCAATTTCATACACACAAAAAAACAAGGTCCGACCGGGACTTAAACCCTAAGGCATCAAATGTGTAGGAAAGGTTATTAAGGGAAAAAATCTAGTTCCCTATAACAAGACACTTGCTTTCGCAAGTGTAATCATATTATAAATTTCTGGCAGCGTTCAGAGACCATAAGGGGTTCATTTTCTGTCCTCTTGGGGGTTTAATTAAAATCAAATAAATGTTGTGCAAATACATAAGATTTATTTTTCTTGTTAAAAAATACATGTTGAAATTATCTTGAAATAAACTTTTTTCTTCTTTTTTTTGAAGCTTCTAGAATATATGGACACTAAATCGTGGCATATAGTGGTTTTATATACACCAAGCCCTGTTGACAATGTCCCTTTAAAATAACTAAAATGTAGTACAACTTTCGAATTTCAAAAAATCTCATTTTTCGAAATTCAAAAATAAAAAGGAACCCTTTAAGCTCTTTGAATTTCTTGAAGGACTTATGATTGGCGCTTTTTTGATAATATTAACCCAACTTGAGAAAACTGGATCAACAGGTAAAGTTTTTATTCCCTGGAAAATCTGAAAATTAAATTCCATTTTCGAAACTAGAAATCGTTCACATTTTTTCGCGCCATTTCTACGTTCGTATTTGGAGAGTGCTCTTTACGTCACTTTCAGAATATGAATTTCAATTGAACTCAAAAAGTGCATATATACCTAGGTGCATTCATAAATGCATCAATATGTTTGAATGCATATATGTAGTTATTAGCGACTGTGATGAAAAACTACGTTCATTACTCTTAATGACACGGACAAAACACCATTCGAAATCTCCGAATAAATTTATCGAATTCTTCAACTTCAATAAAACCGTCGACCAAAGAATTGCCACAACACAAGCGCTAGAACTCTAGATCCGTCAAAAAATAAGCAAAAAAAAAACAGTTACGCCAACACAAATTTTCCAAGAATGTTCTGAATTTTTACAAAATTATTCAGAGGAGAAATACAACCTAAAATACAAGCTTAAACTTTCACTTGCGACATGATAACAACGTTTTTAACACAGAGGCGAAACACGTTTTTAAACACTTGTGAGTAGAAATAAGCCTCAAATTAGGATAAAACTAGGCTGCTTGTGGGATTCGAATCTGCGACCTTGCAATTTTGTCTCACGCACTAACCACTCAGCCACGGATGCTTGAAATACCCAAAAACTAGCCACTAATAACCAAGCTACATATGCTAATAAATTTCCAATTCGATGCCGCAAAAAAGATACCAAATACAAAAAGACACAATTTTCCATGTAATAAATTCGAAAGCAAAAAGCCAAATTTTGTATAACTCATGCATTTCAAAACAAATAGCGAGATCGAGTTTCTGAAAAATTCTGAAATCTTATCATTGTACTGCTGTTTGAAGCAAATAACTTTTTTTCGGTTAATTTGATAAATTAAATATGCATCAACTTTGTTAACTTTCTACTAACAAAATGTTAAAGCAAATATGACATTATAATGCTACAGCAGCCTATCGTTCAAAGTGCCACTAAAAATAGCACTTTTATTTGCGACGCTGGTTGGAAAAAAGAAGGTTTTTATTAATACACTCGCTTCGCAAGTGTAATCACCCGGTTATTTCCTGCCGGAGGCCCAGTTAAAAGGGTATAATAATAACACGCCATGACCGCGATAAAAATTGCATCAAGACCCAGAAGGAATATTAAAACGAAAACCGCTTTAGAAAAATCTTAAATTTAACGATGAGTTAGAGACCAACCCATGTTCCGTTTGACTTTTCTTAAAAAAGGCTGTTACGCGCTTCCAGACCAAGAAATCAACAGCTCAACTATGCTTCACAATAAATATTTTTTCAACTTCGAATTTCAAAGAAAACATATATCATCTTAACGTTCTTTCAATTGCAAGAATCGATGGCGTTTGATACTTGTTTGATTAAAGTAGCCCATATAAAAATTTGACCAACATTTTTTTCTAATCTGCAGGGAGATCTATAAATATTATTCTACTTTTAGAACAATGTTTTCCAAATTTTTCCACCCATTTGAACTTTTTTATTAGAACACAAATTACCGTCCATTAATCAAGTCAATGTGAAGATAACATAACATAGCCAACATACAGTAGGAAAAAAATTATAAAGGCAAGGGAACAGAAACAAAAACTGAATTGTTTTTTGTAAAACTTCAGTTTTCGAATTTCAAAGAAAAAATTAGTAGACCTTAAGTTTTAGAATTTTTTTCTCCAAAATTTCATTTATTTTATTTTTATTATAAAGCGAACACTACTTCATAGACCTTAAAAAGCAGACGGAACATTCACGACTTTGCAGAACATTCAGGACGGAACAAAAGAAGTCAGAACAGCAGCGCTGGTATAAGGTACTGTTTTTTTTTCATTTTACGTTAGCTAAGGGAGAAAATTTCGTCTTTTGCGACTGTCAGTACGATACAAAAGCGACATCAATATTCTCATCCCTTGGTAGCATGTCATTTTACACAGAACAAAGCCAACTCTACTGAATTTGTTTTGCCGACGGAATTTGTTTTGTGGCCTTCTGCCGAGCACTTGCGAGCCACAAGGACTGCCGCTAATTTTTGAAAACCGCTTTTAAATTATCCATCTGGATTCACTTTCATAATACACGAGAGGGAAAATAGAAGACAAACTATTCTGAAGAGGGTTCGTACAGGGCCTCTCAGTTGGCAATGAGCTGAGCTCATCCAACCGTAGCACTTCATAAGAAAAGGAAAAGCCACACTGAGAACTGGATCACTAGGACACACTCCGATCAAAAAGCAAGCCGATGAGAAAGAGCCAGCACAATTGTGAGAATGCTTGAAAAACCATCAGAACAATGGCATTTTAGAAACTTGAATTAAAATTCAATGCATGTTTTTTAAAACTTTCAATTTGATGCTTTCAAATCCTAGCGGACACTTAGGAGTACGGCGCCGTTTTCAAGACTCTCAAATCAAACTAAACTCATTTGCAACACATTAACCCTGATCAAATGATAAAACTCGATTTAAATCACAATTCTAATTCAAAAGTGAATTTACTCTTTCTGAAAGCACGAACAAATTTTCAGAGCCAGTAGAAAGATGGGAAATTTGGATCTATCTAATTGGAAAATATCTTTCGGTTGTATTTAGTTTTATGACATGGGCCACATGAGAGAGAGGAGACTTACGAGGGCTTCTGTGATTAGGAGTAGCAGCAGGATCTCCTCCATTCTACTCTGGGGCACATAACTCTCAGTGTGGCCGCCTACTTCCATGCTAAAAGAAAGCAGCATAAAACAATAGTTCGTTCATTAGGCCAGAAAAAAAATATCTGCATCTGCATTGATCTAAGCTTTACAAAAAACAAATGTCATCTTCCTCAGCTCAACTTCACTACTTTAAGATCAACAATGCGCTACAAATTATTTCTTTTTGAAAAAACATCAACTTTCGATATTCCAAGAAAAATAGATGGCCTTTAAGTTCTTTAAAATTCTTCAACAAATTATGATTGACATTTTTTGAACATAGCCAACGGTCAGTTGAATGAAAGTCACTGAACGCAACAAAAAAATTAATGATTGTGACTGACTAGGTTGACATCTCCATCCATGAAACGGTCGTAATTCAAGTTGCAAATGGAAATGATGGGCGCAAGAGCCTTGCTTCAACCGATAATTGCGGGTCGCTGCACAAGAAGCAGAGAAAATTGCGAACACAGACATAATTCCAAAACATAGCCAACAAACAGTTGGAAAAGAGTCAATTAACGCAAGTAAACAAAAAAATACTGACTTGTTTTTAAAAAAATCTAAATTTTCGAATATCAAAGAACCTCTTTTGTTCAAAATAATTAACCTAATATTAGAAAACAGGATCAAAGAGTTTCGCTGGGAATTCTCAAAATTAAATTCCACTTTCTAAACTAGAAGTCGATAACTTTTTTCGTGACCATTACACGTTTGCTGTTAGATAGTGGAGTTTGCTTTTCTTATAACAAATAAGAATAACTTAACTTAAAGAGAAATCAAAAGTCCAACAGTCAAACCGCAAACAAGTTCATTTGAGCCTGATTTATTGACTTGTTTTGTCAAAAAAAAACTCTTCGAAAAAAAAATAGCTTTAAAGCGCTTTACTTACTTTGATATGTTTTTTTTTTACTTCAAAAAACTCTCTTGTTCTTTTTGAAAAATAGATAGCCTGAAGTCTCTTTGAATTTCTACATTTTTTTGACAATTTTTTAAATTAAATTAACCTAATTTGAGAAAACTGGATCAACAAATAAACGTTTTATTTTGCTCGGAAATCTCGAAATTAGGTTCCACTTTTAAAACTAGAAGTATATCAACAAAAAAAGCTACAGAGATGCCAAGCTGCACTTCGCAAACACTAGCGAGAACACGACAAAAAGCAGCTCTCGATTTCTAAAAATGCAATAAGAAAAAGTAAAAAAAATAAGCCTCGAATTAGTAAAAATTCGGCGACGTCTCGGGCTCGAACCTACGACGACCTATTAATTATGAATCTCACACACTTATCACTCAGCCACGGACACTTGGTCCATCACTGACATCAACCACTAATAAAGCCGAGAACAGATGCTATGAAATTTCAAATTCTACTATGAACTTGAGTATAGCAAAAAGGCACAGAAGTGAACGCTTTTAATGAACACTTATGTTTGCGAGTTAGGGTAGAAAAAAAACAAGGTTCGTACTAAAATACTAGCTGCTCGCTAGCGTAATCACGACCTGTAAAAGAGTCTTCACTACATTCATCATTGACCTTTAATCACTTGGTTATGCCAGAGGTGAACATTTCCAACACGTCTACGATCTACAGGGCTACGATCAGAGGCAACATCTACAACAAGAAGAAATTTACTTGGGAAAAGTAGAAGTTCTGCTCTTCATTTTTGTCAGATTATTCGTACTCTGAGAGATGTTCGCTCCCGGATTTGGCATCAGACCCCTCGCCGCCGAGTTGCGACCCGATACACCGAGAGATGCTGTGAGGTCTTCCGTCGCGATCCTCGCTAGAGAATTGAGCTGGGAGGGGTCTAAGAGACACGTGTAATTATGGTCGCTGACGAAACGCATCAGAATTTCGGCCAACTGTCTCGCCAAAAGCTGAAAAATTCATATAGAACTGTTACTGTTTATTGATTTTTGGTCCCCTACCCTAAACCAATCCAACCAAAAACAATCCAAATCTTCACTGAACTTTCAAAAATACCAATTATTTAGCACAGCTCCAAGAGTTCTATGACCGAATATTTTGCTGAAATATTTTTCTTCGAACATCGGAAGAAAAACTTATTAAATGTTACCTATTCGAATTTCACAGCAGCGCGTCCTAAGCAGTTCAACCTAACATCATATTGAGGCTTTTAAATGCTGCTTTGAATGAAAGGCTTACCTGGCTCATAACATTTTTTCCAACTTAATAATTAGCCATCATAATCGTTGATATGTCGTAAAGAATTGACATGTAAAAAGAGACTAACCGCTCTTAGCTCAGAAGCGTGTCGTATTTCCGACTTCTGCAGGTCATCTCTCAGTTTTCCCACACTTCCACTTATGTTCCTAACAACAAAACCTTCCATTATTTCATTTTTATCAACCGCTAAAACCATTGTAAGACGCTAATCTATCCAATTTCACTATGGGCGGCAATTTACGTAGCAGTATTTAGACAACCGCGTATTCAGACTCCCCAGTAAGCAGAAAAATGCTGTAATTACCAATCAGAATCGAGACAAGGAAGAAATAAATAGATATTTATTTCGTAAGTTTGCTTTCTCATCTCGATTCTGATTGGTTAATATAGATTTGTCTGCTTACTGACGAGTCTGAATACGCGGTTGTCTAAATATCATAGCACTCCGAGCGGCGCGAACTGCTTAGGTTGCTGTATTTTAGAACCACTTTTCCGGAAATTTTAGCTTCCGGATCGTTCTTTTAGCAGACCAACGTAATAAACTGATGCATGATTGATTTACAGACTCGGGTCTAGGAAAACAAGCCGACGGGACTTCAAACCGAAGGGTCATCAGCCCGAAATTTAAACTTTTTTACAAGCACCTCAAATCACTATTTTTTGATCTGTAAAACGTTGCTTTTCAAAAATTTAGACAAGTTAAGATTAGTCCATAATAAGTGTTATTCATGACAATGCACCACTTGTGATTGGCATCCGTTAATAATATCAGCCGGTTTTTGAAATGCATAAATTATCAAGAAAATTACTTTCAACCGTGTTTTATTTTTCAACTTTCCTAAACATCATTTGGAGGCTTGATTTTTATCCAAAACGCCAATAACTACTGAAAAAACCATATGAAAATTTTTCAAAAAAGTTTTTTAATCATTTTTCAGGATTTAATGAGAACACTTTTGGCTTGAGGTCCCTAATTTTACGATTCGACTTGAAGTCGCGTCGGTTTGATGTCGGGCACACGACAGACTCAAATAGACGCTCAATCTTGGGTCAAGCTTCCCCAACTCAGACAATTATTTCAAGATTCGTCAGCAAAACGATCAACTTCAAAAACAACAGTCCAAATTAACGGCAAAACAAAGATTTACGCGGGTGGAATCCCTCATAGGCGAAAATAAAAACCAACCAATCAGATTTCACTAGTCCAAAAATTGGAATGAAAAAATCTCAAAAAATTGAACTTTTCCAGGGATTTAATATTAATTTTGGCCGAATATAAAAATGGCAGAAACACGCTAAATTTTCGATTAATCACTGACCGCCGGTGAATTGAAAAAAAATTGTTTCAAGAATCTGGTTTTAAAAAAGCAAAATATTGCTTCATTTAAATCCTTTTAGTTGAACGGCTATTGATTCATGTTAACAATTGACTTTCGACTGTTTTTGTTTTCGGTACTTCGCGCACGAGTTTTTCGCCATTTCGGTCCTTCGTCCATGAGAATAGTCTCCATTTACGCGAACAATAACACTTGCGCCGAACGGAAGCGCAACGGAGCAAAATGTCGCTAATCGCCAACGACGCGTTTGAAGTTTGCTTTCTGGCTTGATAATTCTTCTGAGTCTGCCAAAACGTATGACAAAAAAACCGGTCAGCTAAAATTATTAGTACCAGCCAACATATAGATGAAGAATTGTCATGCCCTTACCTTGTTTTGACAGAAACTTCTTTGCTTTCAACACCAGATTATATGTCACAGCGAAACACGGCCAACAGATAGTTGAAAAATTATGAAAATTCTCTTTTGTTCTTCTAGAGAAAACATTTCCTTTCGTTTAGCAAATGAAACTTAAATGAATTTACATACAAAACAAAAGCCCAACAACAAAAAAATTGAAGCTTGATTAAAAATCTGACAATTTCTTTAAAAAAAAACAAAACGACGCAAGATGTCTTCGCTTTGTTTTTTTTTAGCATTTTAAATGAAATAAAAATTATAAAGAAAAATATACTTAGACAATTCTTCAAACGTAAAAAAAAATCAAATATGCAAGAAAAGCCGCCATTTAAGAGCTACACCTTTGTTTAGCAGCAGAAACGCTTCTTTTGGCTAAAAAAAATTGGAAGCTCAAAACAAAAACTTCGAGATTTGAAAGAACATGCAAATAGTAAAATATTCTTTCTCGAAAGACATTAGAAGCCTTGAACAACACATTCAGGCCTGCCAACTTTTATAAAACGAAATATGAACCTGCGACCAAACCTTGAAAAATGAACTTTATATGAACCTAAAGGAGCATTTTCTAACTTTCAGAAAAACATGGTCAATTAATCCGTTTATTTCTTGACAAATACTGAGTCAATGACAACTGCAGACTGTTGATCCAATGTGACCACAGAAACAGTTCGTTGGTTATGGAGCAGTTCCTTCTTCTTTTCAAGAGCTTCAAGAGCTTTTTTAGCCTCGTCAATGCTAGAATCAACTTCGTTCAGCTGGTTCTTGAGAGCTAAAGGAGTCATTCTAATTTTGTATTGAAAAAAAAACGTTGCAATGGATCATAAGACACTTGCCGTGACAAGTGTCCACAACGGCAAAACATAACTTCGCAACACCTGAAATAAAACACAAATGTACCAAAGCAAGCTAGCGGATTAAAATATGGCAGAAGACTGAATCGGAACAATTCCTTGAAAAAACATAGTCAACAGACAGTAGGAAACGTCAAATAACGCAAGTTAAAAGCAAAAAACAATGACTTTTTGAAATACACGTGTAACATTTTCACGTGCAAATTCTGTGAACAAAGTTATTTACGGTAAAAAAAGTCTAGTATCTGGTTACAACACCCTTGCTAATCGGAAGGAGAAATAAATAAAACTGATACAAAATTAGAATCGGCAAAGTTTCGAATTACAGAACGACCTTCAATTACAGTAAAAATTGTTCAAATTAACAGAAACTTTCATGCTTTGAAAATTATGCTGATAAAAAATAAGCAAACGATGATTCGACAATTCAAATTTTCCCAAAAAAAAAATTACAATTTCTTCACATTCCAACAACAAAACAAGATCCAGTCAGAACTGGAACTGCAGACCTTAGGAACCCTAATGACATGCTTTACCCTTTTACCAAAAGGGAAGGGTTCAAGAAATGATTGGGGTTTCATAAAAAAAAGATAGCTCAATTTGCTAGAAAGCGGTAAAAAGTGTCGATTCATTTAACTTGCTCTAGAAAGTGAAAGAGGACAGAGCTCGGTGTGGAAAAGAATGTGCATGAGAGTATCAAATAGTTGGGACATGGTTAGCTGTGAAGTTAGAGAGTACTTGAAAATAGGGTGGGCAGATGCAGTGGCGTAGGGTAGAATAGAATAGAATATGACTGAACAGAACTTACTCCTCCATGAACAGCATCGAGGGCACCCTGTGCACCGCATACTCTAAGAAATTGGTCACATTCGGAGCAGTTGTGCTGCCCATCTGTAGGGACACAGGGCTGGTTGCTGCCGATCCCGAGTTCTGATTCACATATCCGGCAGTCCACATCCCGCCGACCGGAGACGTTGGAGTGGTTCCTGCCAAGTTCGCAACAGATCCTCCTCCGCCCCCGTAGCCGCGTAGACTGTCTAGGCACTTCAAGAAAGTGAAGCATACTTCAGTTGATCTCTCCAAGTACTTCTTGGGGTTGCCTCGATTCCGGGCAGATTTTTTGTTAGAAGTACCATTGCTGTTTTCCGATGCCATGAAATATTCTGCCTGGAGGCCTGAAAAAAAATTACCGGTGAATTATTTGACATTCGTAGATTAATTATTTCTAAACCATATAGAAACTCCAATATCAGATAGCAATGTTTGCTTTAAAATAAATATATATTCATCACTAGGCCTTGACTCAACCTGCTCCAAAATGAGTCTTCCTAATTCGGTTATTTGTTCCAGCAAGTGATTTGCCAGTACTTCTAAATTTAAGCCTTTAAAAATGAGTGGCAACTTGTTTGCTCGGAAACCCCAAGAGTGATCTCAAAGGTACCTTTAATCGCATACGCCTCTGCCGCCATCCTAAGCATGCGAGAGTTGTGTTCATTGGTGAACTGAGTCACTGCCGCGTCTAGATCACTCTCTACAAAGTAGTTGTCTATACTGTCCATTTCTCCGAAGATGTAGAGCAACTTCATCATCAGTATCTTCGCTTCGAGTAGCAGAGATTTTTGGTACTAAAACAAAAAGCTTTTTAAAATGCCAGGAAACCTCAATAAAAACTGGCTGTTTTATTCAAGGACATGAAAAGGAATTGCACTGGTTTAGTTCCATCAATAACTTGTTCATCTTCAAGGTCAGAGATAAATTATATTTACATCGCTGAACAATGAACGTCTGTTAAGGTTTAACAGCAGATTTATTTGGCAAATTACAATAACTATAATGTCAGAGTCTGAACGTCTCAATTTTAATTTCAAAGGCCACAAAGACCGCAGAATAGAAGTGTAGAATAGTGCAGTGCAGGCGTGAGGGCGTGGTGTCTGTGCCATTCTCATGACCAGAAGACCCGAATGGCCAATATGTTTCAAGTTGTTAAAATGACTGCTTATGGTGCTTCAGTATTTCTGATAAATTCAAAAATTTGAACGCTTGAAGAATGTTCAATGATTCGGTCTTTATGACAGGAGGAGTTCTCCCACAACAAGGTCTCACAAAACTCGGTCATTTTGAATCATGAAAAAAGAATTTAATTCAGCACATTCATTTGTCAGAAAAAAACGATGCGGCTGAGGGATTTAAAAAATGTCGCAATGTCAGGAAAAATTGGTGTAAACTTTTCCATGTTTTAGACAAATTTACAAGGAGAAATCTATCAGATCACCCTTCCCACCTCTAAAGAAAAAATGAAAAAGCCTAGTTTTTTGTAATTTTTTCCCATATCTTTTAAATGCCACACTAATTTAAGTTAAGTATTTGAAAAATGTGTGGTCGGATTGCTCAGTGCTGCGTGCAGAGCGAAAGGCCATCCCTGGTATGAAGGAAGAGAGAGAGAGAGAGAGAGAGTGACATACACTCTTGGAGTCTCCCTTGGGGGCCTTGTGTGTGGCGGTGTTGATGATGGTGTCCAGGTGTTTGCGCACTGTCTTCAGTTCGTCCACTCTCGAGGCGACTGGGGAGGTGGCACTGCCATGCACGTACAAGTAGTCCTCGATCGTCACCTCCGCACGCACCAACAGGTCGAAGTGGTCTACACAACAACACACACACTCACACACGTCACATCACATCACACAGCAGACATACAATCAAACCAAACAAGCACACTCTCTTCACAATTATTCACTACTTGCTTTATTCATCAACAACTTATCCACTGTCCAATGAAAGTTAAGGAGCGATCAATGGAGTTTCTATGAAAAGAAAAAGCAGTTTTGATTGGGGCAGTAAGACTGTCTTGAATGCAACTTATTTGGCATCCATAGGGTCCCGTGCATGAAAAGCCTGAACAGAAAAACCTGAAACCTTTTAAGAGATTCATCATTTTATGGGATGATGAGGATGATTCTGAAGCTTTCGTTTTGCACACCCGCCGTTTGATTCATATCAGCTCCTCACTAATAGTGCGAATAATAGCCTCAAAATAAACTCAACAATCCAACAACATCGAGTGAATACCTAACACCAGCAGACAATTAAAATATTCCTTTTTTAAGGATCAACTCTTAGACGAAAAACATTTACAAATTATTTAGTTGGGTCGCCATGAATTAAAACATGGTGCAGATTTGCCCGTGAAAAAAAAAACCGAGAGCCCCGGGTTTTCTTGACCGATGTCAATTAAAGTCAGACATAATCAGAATAAAATCAGCCAACAAGCTCAACGATTGGAAATACCACTTTAAATATTCCCAGTCAAAGCTTAACGTTTAAATGGGTCGAAATTTACTTACCGACAAAGTTATTTTCCATTTCAACATAAAAGTAAATAAAATATTTACAAAGCTATAAAAAAAATCACGGCAGAAGTTGAGCCGGAATGAGGTAGCAAATTGTGGGAAAGTAAAAGGAAATAAATAGTAAGTTAATTAAATTAGGAATTACAGAGCCGCGATAGCTGAACTGATAGACAAGGAGGCAATATAGCATTTCATTCCGACATTTGCTTCAAACAGTCGGTTGAAACAAATCATCTGCGGAACAGTATTATCTCCCTTTCTCTCTTCTCTCTCTTTATTTTTAATCAACTATTTTGGAAGCTTCTGCGATGAGAAATGCAACATGAAAGAGTTGGTCTGCCCAAGGTCAAATCTGGCCAATTTCCTCCTCGACTGAGTGCAATTGATTACATGGAGATGTGTCTTCCAAAAACAGAACAGAGCCCAGTTTAAAGCAAAGCAACACAATTAGTACAGCCCTTATGGTATAAAATGGGCTCTGAATTTTAGTGTATTTCTCGATGCAAATGAAAGCGAAATAATGCCTTATATCATATAATTGAAGCAAATCGAACAGTTTTACAGTGGTGGTAATTCTAACTCAGCTTCGCTTCGCCTCGCCTCTGTTAGAACGGAAGCTTCACTCTCTTAAGCTGCTATTGCATATGTTTATATTCAAAACAAAAAAGAAAGCAGTAAACATTATTTCCTATTAAGAATATTAACTAGTTTTGCAGTGGAAAATTCATTTTGATATTGAAGACCTCGACTTTTTGCGCTTGGCCTCCCTCCATTAAATTTCCCATTAATGGTGCTTCAATAATTTATCAACCACTTAGGAATATTTGCTAACGTCAAATAGAGAACCAAAGTCTTTCATATTCAGAACTGCAAAACAAGGAAAAGGCAGGTGCTTAAAAGTCTGATAAAAGTTGCGCCTGTTAACTAAAACTGAGCATTTCAATGATTCTGTCTGACTAGGTTGACATCTCCATGAGACAGTCATTATACACTGAGGGTCGCTGCACAAAAAGCAGAGAATTTTCCGACTACAGACATGTTTCCAAAACATGTTAACACATTGTTCAGAAGTGGCTTTAGTCCTTGAGAGCACTCTGACAAACTACAGAACATTTAAATTTCGGTTTTCTGAAATTTTTTGAAAAACTCACAAAAAACTTCATACCTGGAACTACCAAGATTCGTGCAGTCATATTTGGAGGCAAGAATTGCAACCCCTGAGAGTTTCTGTCAGCCCTATCGGATAGTGCTTTAGCCTACCATTTATATATACTGTTGCTATAAATTCTTCCGATGCATGATAACAAAAGTCACATCTCGGAAATTAATAGTATTTGAGCAGTCGCAATTAGACGCAAGATTTGCAACTTGGAGCTCCTGAAAGTACCTTCACAGTAATTAACTACAGGAACGTGAACTTCAAACTTTCTGATTATTTTTAAATCCAAGTTTTCAGAAAAGTGAGAAAGAAAAATTTTCATATCTCGAAAACTACCATGATTTGAGCAGTCATAACTGGAGGCAAGATTCGCATCCTCTGCGAAAACCCTGACAGGGCCCAACTTCATGGTTGCGAATTATTATTTTTTTTGAGTTCTTTCAAATCTTAGTTTTCTGAAAAGTAAAAAAAAAACTAAAAACATCGTAATTCGAAAATTACGAGGACTGCAGCAGGTATAATTCGAGGCCCAATTCAGCAGGTATAATTCGAGGTATAATTCGAACCCCTGTGAAAACTCTGACAGTATCACACTCTAGCGTTTCTAATTTTATACTTAGAAAAAAAAACAGAGTTCAATCTGGGAAATCGAAAACCATTTCTTAACCATTGCATTTTTTTACGATATAGATAAACGTAAAAAAAAAATTTCGTTAAACATGAAAAAAAAAATACGTTGAAAAAGCTTAAACATGGCGGAAGAGGGAAGCCCCCATTTAAATATATAATAGATTGGTCAGGAATGGCAATCAATTGATTGCAACTAGCGTGTAGCGCACCTCCGGTGCTTGAAATTTTTTAACAACTCATAAAAACTGTATAAATTGCAAAGAAAAACTGCATCTTAGAGTGTACTCTGACAGCCCACAATTTTATTCAAGTGGCCTAAAAAATGTCACATCTAGGAAACTAAAAGCAATTAAGTAGTCTCATTTGGACGCAAGATTTGCAACTCCTGAGAGTAGTCTCACAATACCCAATTACAGCGTTGGGAATTTCAAACTTTGAAAAACTTCAAAATTAAATTTCTATTACCTTTTTTTTGAAAAAAAAAATTATAAAGAACGTCATATTTCGAAAACTACAATATTTTGAATAATCATACTTGGATGCAAGATCGGCAACCCCTGAGATTACTCTGAAAGCCACCAAGTACAGTGTACTGAATTTCAAACTTTGAAAAAAAAATCTAATTTAAATTTTCTAATTTTTTTTGAAAAACTACAAATAACTGAGCAATCAACTGGACGCAAGACTTACAGCTTGGCACTCCTGAGAGAATCCTCACAGTACCCAGCTACGAAGCTGGGAACTTCAAATCTTTTCAATTTTTTTAAATCTAAATTTACTGAAGAATTTAAAAAAATCAAAAAAACGTCAAATCTCGGAAACTACAAGGACTTGAGCAGTCATACTTGAATGCAGGATTCTCAACCCCAGAGACCCTGAGAGTACTGACAGTCCCATTACCAAAATGGCAATTTAAAATTATGAAAAGAATTGTTTTTTGAAAATTTAATGAAAAAATCACAGAAAACGTCATATCTCGAAAATTACAAGGATTTGAGGAGCAGTCATATTCAGAAGCAAGACTCGCAACTCCTGAGAGTACCTTCGCAGTTTCCAACTACATGATAGAGATCTTCAAAAACATTGAACTGTTTAAAATCTAAATTTTTGAGAAGTCTTGAAAAAAATCATAAAAAACGTCATATCTCGAAAACTACAATGATTTGAGAAGTGAGATTTGGAGTCAAGCTTCGTAAACCCTGAGAGTGCCCTGAAAGCATTCAACTACAGGTGTGTTTTGTGAAATTTTTCCAATTTAATGTTCTGGATAGTTTTGTATTATCTCAAAAATTGCCGTATCTCGTTAACTAATAGGATTTGATTATTCATATATGGAGGCCAAAATCGCAACACCTGGGATAGACTTGGCAGCATCCCAATATTGGGATGCTAATTTCAAACTTGGTTAAATAAACACTGAATTCAACTGAAAAATCGAAAAAAAATGTGAAACATTGCAATATACGATATAGCTTAAACCTGAAAAACTTCTTTTGTTAAACATGCAAAAATATTACGTTGAAACAGCTTAACCATGGCGAGATAGTGAAGCCCGCATTTAAATATATAACTAGCGTGTACCGCACTCCGGTGCTTGGAATTTTCAACAAGTCAAAAAAACTATTCTTTTAGCGTACTCTGACAGCAGCCAATTACAGGGTTCGTAGTTAAAAATGTTTTTTATTCAAGTTTTTTTTATACAAATTTTGAAGAACCATAAAATTTTGTGAAGTTTTATTAAAGTTCATCAAAAAATTTAAAATGAACTAAGAAACGTCGCATCTGAAAAACTGAAAGCAATTGAGCAGTCGCATTTGGACGCAAGATTTGCAACTCATGAGAGTACTCTTACAGTACCTAACTACAACGTTGGGAAATTCAAATTTTGAGAAACTACATCTTAAGTTTTTTAAAAGAGATTTATTAAAAACCAGAAAAACTTCACATGTCGAAAATTGAGCAGCCTTTTTTGATGGCAGTATTCGCAATCTTTGAAAGTATACAAATACAGGGTTGGGAATTTTACTTGATCGAATGATTTTGTAATTCGAGTTTTCTGAAAAATTCCTAAAAAAATCACAAAAATCGTCGTATCTCTTAAATAAAAATGATTTGGGCATTCTTAACTGAAGGCCGAATTTGCAACATCTCAGTTTACTCTGGCAGCCCCCCAACTACAGGCTAGGAATTTCAAACTTTGAAAAAAAAATTAATTTTCAATTTTTTGAAAAAATTACAAGACAATTTATCTGAAAAACTGCAAGACTTTGAGAAGTCCTATTTGGAAGCAAATCTAGCAACTCCTGAGAGTAGCCTGACAGAGCCTCACGACAGATGAAAATTTCAAGTTTTGTGAAACTTTTTTACTTAAGTTTTCTGAAAAACTTTGCAAAAAATCCTTAAAAAAACGTCATATCTCGAGAACTACAAGAATTTAAGCAGCTATAATTAGAGGCGTGATTCGCAACCCCCCTGAGATTACCCTCGCAGATTCCATTAACAAGATTGAGACCTTTATCAAAAAACGTCTATCTCGAAAACTACAAGGATTTGAGCAGTCATATTTGGCGGCGAAATTCGCAACTCCTGAGAGTACCCTGACATAGCCTCACTACAGAGATGGTAATTTCAAGTTTTAAATTTTTTATATCTAAGATTTCTGAAAAATTTTGAAAAAAAAAATCGAAAAAACGTCATATCTCGAAAACAACAAGGATTTGACCAGCCATAATCAAAGGCAAGATTCGCAACCCCTGAGAGTACCCTCACAATATCCAACAACAGGATTGACATCTTCAACGTTATGGAATTTTTTAAAATCCACGTTTTTGAAAAATTTTTTTGAAAAAATCATGAAAAAAAGTCATATCTCGAAAACTACAAGGATTTGAAAAGTGAGAATTGGAGGCAAGTTTTGCAACCCTTAAGAGCACCCAACTACAGGGCGAGAATTTCAAAACTTGAGAAATTTTTTAAATGTTAAATTTTCTAGAAATTTTTGAAAAATCTCGAAAATTACCGGATCTCGTACACTAAAAGGGTTTAGTAATTCATATAAGGAGGCCAGAATCACAAAAACCTGAGAAAACCCTGACAACATCCCACTATTGGGTTGCTAATTTCAAACTTGATGAAATAAACACTGAATTTAAACTGTAAACAAGAATGCTCGTATCAGGGCGAAGCCCTGAAAGTTCCGACTGCCTTTTAACGTTTATGGAGCAGTAATAACATAAACAACACAAAAAAAATTAAATGAAATAAATTAAAAAGAAAAATTTGAGAATTTTTCTATTAAAATCATCACCCCACACGCCATAAATAGTACTACAGGATAAATTTCGCTCCTTGTAACAAACCAATTATGGCAAATAAGCTTCTTTTCACCAATTTGAAACAATTTCTAAGACGGATTAAATCTCCGTTTACGCGTTAATAGAGCGAATTATATCGCGCGTTAATTGTCCCAAATTGGGCAAAATGGCCAAAATCGCAATCTTTAAACCCTCATAACTTAACGAAAAATGATCACAGGTGAAATATCTTTTCAAATTTTAGCTCAGGTGAACAATTGCTTTCGAATGATATAAGAAATTTCGTCAAAAATGGCTAGTTAAAAAGTCGAAATTTGTCTGAAGCAAAAACAACTCACCCCGAGCACAAATATTCCGTTACTTTCGTATCGAAAGTCAGAACAAAAAGAAAAAAACTTAACCATTGCAAAATAAGATATAGCTTGAACATGCAAAAATATTACGCTGAAACAGCTTAAACATGACGAGATAGTGAAGCCCGCAATAAAAATATATAATAGATAGATTGAGAAACTTTTCCAATATAATTTTCTCGATATTTTTGAAATATCTCAAAAATTGCCGTATTTCGTAAACTTATAGGATTTGGTTATTCATATATGGAGGCCAAAATTGCAACACCTGGGGAAGACTTGACAGCACGCCAAATATTGGGCTGCTAATTTCAAACTTGTTGAAATAAACACTGAATTCAACTGGAAAATCGAAAAAAAATCTTAACCATTGCAATATACGATATAGCTTAAACGTGAAAAATTTTTTTTTGTTAAACATGCAAAAATAATACGTTGAAAGAGCTTAAACATGGCGAGATAGTGAATCCCGCATTTAAATATATAACAGATGAAACAATAATTGCAGTTAATTGAAGGAGAATTAATAATTTTTGACCTGTCCTGCCACTAACTTCACCGATTACTGATATGATTGCGTACTAGGAACTTTCTAC